TTCCGTCAGTACCATTCGGTTCTAGATCATATGCTACCTCCTGAAATGGTTTAACATCGATCAAGTATATTTGGCACAGTGACTCTGTGTATTCCTTCCATTTTTAAAAAATTTTTTCCTGCATCATTCAATATTTTGCCCATAGAATCCTTCAAAATTGCAAATTGAGGCTTGAATTTTTTCTTCAGTGCCTCCAGCCTGAAAAACTCCAAGCATGTTCTCTTTCCTTTTGGTTTCCTAACTCCAGGGCTTTGCACATTTCATTATAGTATTTTACTTTGTCTTCTTAAGCTTCCTTTTGAAATCTTCTGTGCAGCTCTTTTACTTCATCATTTCTTCCATTTGCTTTCACTGCTCTACATTCAAGAGCAAGTTTCAGAGTCTCTTCTGACATCCATTTTGGGCTTTTCTTTCTTTCCTGTCTTTTTAATGACCTTTTACTTTCTTCATGTATGATGTCCTTGATGTCATCCCACAACTTATCTGGTGTTTGGTTGTTAGTTTTCAATGTGTCAAATCTATTCTTGAGAAGGTCTCTAAATTCAGCTGGGATATACTCAAGGTTGTACTTTGGCTCTTGTGGACTTGTTTTAATTTTCTTCTGCTTCAACTTGAACTTGTACACGAGCAATTGATGCTCTGTCCCGCAGTCAGCCCCTAGCCTTGTTCTGACTGATGATATTGAGCTTTTTCAATCAACTCTTTCCAAAGATGTAGTCAATTTGATTCCTCTGTTTTCCATCTGGCAAGGTCCAGGTGTATAATTGCAGTTTATATTGTTGAAAAAACGTATTTGCAGGGACTAAGTTGCTGGTCTTACAAAATCCTATCACGTGATCTCCTTCGTGGTTTCTATCACCAAGGCCTTATTTTCCAACTACAGATCCTTCTTGTTTCCAACTTTTGCATCCCAATCACCAGTCATTATCAATGCATCTTGACTGCATGTTTGATCAATTTCAGACTGCAGAAGTTGTTAAAATCTTCAATTTTCTCTTCCTTGGCATAGTGGTTGGTGTGTAAATTTGAATAATAAGTGTATTAATTAGTCTTCCTTGTAGGTGTATAGATATTATCCTAACACTGACAGCATTGTACTTCAGGATAGATTTTAAAATGTTCTTTTTGACGATGACTGCGATGCCATTCCTCTTCAATTTGTCATTCCCAACATAGTAAACCACATGATTGTCCGATTCAAAATGGCCAATACCAGTCTGTTTCAGCTCACTAATGCCTAGAATATCAATCTTTATGTATTCCATTTCATTTTTGACTACTTCCAATTTTCCTAGATTCATACTTCGCACATTCCATGTTTCGATTATTTATGGATGTTTGCAGTTGTTTCGTCTCATTTTGAGTCGTGCCACCTCATTAAATGAAGGTCCCAAAAGCTTTACTCCATCCATGCATAAGGCAGACTCTACTTTGAGGAGGCAGCTCTTCCCTAGTCGTATTATGAGTGCCTTTCAACCTGTGGGGCTCATTTTCCAGTAGTATATCAGACAATATTCTGCTTCTATTCATAAGGTTGGAGCCCTGGTGGTGCAGTGGTTAAGAGCTCTGTTGCTAACCAAAAGGCTGCTAAGTAGTTCATGTCTACCAGCCGCTCCTTGGAAATTTTATGGGGCAGTTCTACTCTGTCCTATAGGGTCACTATGAGTTGGCATTGACTTGATGGCAATGGGTTTAGTTTTTGGTTTTGGATTCATAAAGTTGCCACTGACCAATTTTTTTAGAAGTAGACTGCCAGGTCCTTCTTCCTAGTCTGTCTTAGTCTGGAGGCTCTGCTGTTAAGATATCAAACAATGTATTTCATTGGGCAAATCTGGTGCAAAAGACCTCTTTAAAGTGTTGAAAAATAAAGATGTCACTTTGAGGACTAAGGTGCACCTGACCCAAGCCATGATATTTTCAATCACCTCTTATGCATGTGACAGAATTGGTGCCTTTAAATTATGGTGTTGGTGAAGAATATTGATTATACCATGGACTGCCAGAAGAACAAACAAGTCTGTTTGGAAGAAGTACAGCCAGAGTGCTCCTTTGAAGGGAGAATGGTGAGACTTTGTCTCACATACTTTTTATGTGTAATCAGGAGGGACCAGTTCCTGGAGAAGGACATCATACTCGGTAAGGTGGAGGGTCAGCAAAAAAGAGCAAGAAACTCAACGAGATGGATTGAAACAGTGACTACAACAATGGGCTCAAACATAGCAACAGTTGTGAGGATGGCAAAGGTTCAGGTAGTGTTTCATTCTGTTGTACATAGAGTCGCTATGAGTCAGAACTGACTCGACAGTATCTAACAATAACAACATAAAACAATAATGGAATATAAGAAACTAATTACAGGGGCTGTGAAGGGGGTTTGGTAGATGAAGGACAAACCCCTTCACTTTCACTCTATACCTCATTATCCTTTTTGGTTTTTAAATTATGTGAACATATTACAGTGAAACTCAATGGGACTGTCTTGTTTTTCTGGGTCTCACACATTTTCCACCTTTGAGAGGGTGCAGTCTTACCACATTTCTAACATTCCTTTCAGTGGAAAATTTTGAGTTTTCCTTCTCTGGCAGGTTTCTGCCTTACACAGGTTACTGCTTTTGCAGGTTTTACTATATCTATCCAACCAAAACCACATACATAAATGTAAAAAGGTAATTTTTATCTTTATCTTAAGGATAATGTAAAGTCGTTAAAGAATTTTAAGCAGTGGCGCAACATTAGATTTGGCTTTTAAAAACATGCCCTAGGCCCTAGATATATGCTTTTGTTTATATTTTGCATTGGTGTCAGAGAATGTATGTATTACACAATTCCTTAAAATTTGAATTATATCAGTATCAGTTGAGACTTGTATGGCTTTGAATGTATGCAATTTTTATAATGTTCTACGTATGCTTAAGAAGAATCAGTGTTCCTCGATTTTTCAGTGCATGGTTCTACATGTGTTTCCTTCAATCAACCTTGTTAATTGTGTTGTTAAAAAAGGGGTGGGGGGCATTGCAGCAATCCAGACGAGGGTTGAGTGATTCCAGACTTATCTGGGAGACAAAATGGAAATGTCCTGGTGTTGGATGGGGTGGGGGAGGGGTGAAGGAGAAAGAGACCTCAGGGATGATTCCCTTCGTTTCTGGTTTACGCAATTTGAGAGAGGGTGGGGCTGCACAACTGACATGAGGAATCCTGGGAGAGATTAGGAAATCTCTGTATTTCCCTCAAGAATGTTTCTTAGCTTCCTATGGATGACCGGAGGAAGCTGGCAATATTAAGGGTTTGGGGCTGGGACTCAGCAGCCCTCCTGGTTTTCCCTAGCGCTCTGTATGTATCTGTATCACAACACTTACCATGGTGTATTCGCATTATACGGTATTGCACCCACTAGACTGTGAGCTCGGATGACGGGCCGAGTACCTTTGCATCTTCAGGACTTTGCCCAGGACCTGACTTCGCCTTTCACCTACCCCCGCACCCACTGCTAATCCCGACCGATGGACCTGCCTCGCCCTAAAGAACCTCGCTCCGCCCCTATAGCCACCGTTTCCTCCTAGCCTAGTAGGATGAGGTGATTGACGAATGTATTGTCCAATCATAACGCCGAGTGACCACTTAACTACCAATTAGACGGTAGCAGAGGCGGGTACCGAAGCATGAAGTAGAGGTGACCAGGAAGCGGGACCTGAGATTGGAAAGAAGAACGAATCAAGCCCAGGTGGTGGTGTAAAGGTAACAGGGCATCCGGATTCCCCAACTCCCTCTTTTCCCCATCCCTGGGTCAGAGATCCCTTCGTCCTTTCCCCATCCCTAGGGTCCCTTCGCCGCTGGGAGCTAGGATCGCCATTTCCTCTTTTTTTTTTTTTTTTAATGGGGAAGGGGATGTGTCTACATATTTAAACGTTTAAGGCTCTTTCTTGAGCTCCTTTCCTCGCTTCTTCTTGAGCGGAGTCCTCTTAACCTGAGGTGGGAGTCCTGCCTCCATCCCCTTCTCTGGGGAGCGGTAAAGTTGTTTGAGATCCTTCCTTACCCGGTGCGGTGGGGTGGTTAAAGCCCTCCTGACTATGTCTCAGGAAGGATAGAGTGAGTGATGGGAACTGCGAGCTTCATGGACTCTGCCCTTCTTGTGAGAGGTTAGAGACCTTCACCAGTGGCCAGAGGTAGTGGAAGGTGGAGGGGCAATGGGAAAGAGGTTCCTGTGGTTAGGGAAATAGGAATGAAATAGGTGTTCAGGGCGAAAGAACGAGTGGAAAGAAACGTTTCTTAGGGGTCCTGGAAGTTAAAAGTCCAGTGGGAGAGCCCACTGTGGGGCGGCAGGCGTTGAGGTTGGTCTCGGACTGTAAAATCTCCTTCCCAGCTCGGGGCCGTCAATTTTTCGCCTCATTTCTTTTTTCTCAGGTTTGGGGAGGAAACACCGGCACAATGTGGAAATCCAATGCCGGTAGGTGTTTGCGAGATCTCTTCTCCCCTCACCACCCCCTATTCAGATGGGCCCCACTACAGGAAGTTTCTGTGTTGATTTTACCCCGCCTCTCCCCTCCACCCAAAAGCAAAATCCTTAGACTACAGAGTTCACTGCCTTCGTCTCTCCCCAGCACTTCCGGGTTCGTTCTATTTTTCTCCCCAGCTCACGCTTCTCTCCCCCACCCTTCTATTCTCCTTCCTCACCTTTCCATTTCTTTTAAGTGTTGTTGTGAGCCATGGAGGCGATTCTGACTCATAGCGACCCCATGTGACAAAATAGAACTGTCCCATAGTTTTTTTTTTTTTTTTTGGCTGTAATCTTTATGGAAACAGATTGCCAGGTCTTTCTTTAGCTGAGCCACTGGGTGGGTTTGAACCACCAACCTTTTGGTTAGCAGCTGAGGACTTAACCATTGCGCTACCAGGGATCCTTTCCTTTCCTTTTTTTTTTTTATTGTACTTCAGGTGAAGGCTTACAGAACAAATAGTTTCTCATGAAACAGTGGTACACATATTGTTAACAACCCCACAACATGTCAACCCTCTCCCTTCTCGACCTTTTTTTTTTTTTTTTGTGAAAACATACGTAGCCAAAGAAGCACCATTTCAAAAAATTTCTACATGCACAGTTCAGTGACATCGACTATGCTCTTCCAGTTGTGCTGCTATTCTCACTTTAGATGAAGGCTTACAGAACAAAACAGTTTCTCATTTAACAGTTAGTACACATGTTGCCCTATGACAATGGTTAACAACCTCACAAGCTCCTTTCCTTTTAAGTACAGGGTGAGAAACTGAGTCTGCTTCTTTTTGTTGTTGTATTTGTTATCAGAGATTCTGGGTAGTTTCTAATCTTAATTTATTCTCTGCTTATTCCACCAGGGCAGCCGGGGCCAAATCCATGTCCTCCTTACATTGGGTACCCTGGAGGTGCCAACCCTGTCCATCCACAGCCTACCAATCCTGCCTGTCGTCCAGGCCCCTTTCCCCCTCCCCCAGGAGTTCCCCACGGGAATCCAGTGTTCCCCCCATGTGGACCCCCTCAACCTGTGCCACAACCAGGGTATCCAGGATGCCCACCCCCAGGACCCTACCCACCTCCTGGCCCCCACCCTCCTCCATGCCCACCACTTGCCCCTGGAATGCCTCCTTTGAATCCCTTGGCTCCTGGCATGGTGGGACCAGGAATGGTGATGGACAAGAAGATGCGGAAGAAAATGAAGAAAGCTCATAAAAAGACGCACAAACACCACAAGCATGGCAAGGTCAGTGTTCCTCTGGAGCCCTGGTAGAGAGGGCGTGCTCCCTCAGAAGGCCTGTGAAGGCTGGGGCTGGTTGAGGGGGAGTCATAGTCTGATGCTATGTAGGATGGTGACTGTGGTGCTTTGATAGATAGTTCTTCCTTTTTGTGAAGGATTCCCACGGATAATCTTGAGAAGAAATGTCAGGCTTATTGGGCCTATCCAGTCGGGGCTAGGCTGAGCCTAAAAATAGATGGCTGAATCAAAAGGCTTTCTTGTCTGCTGTTCCCTCTCCCAGAACTTCTTCCCCTTTTCTTCACCCCCGCCCCCCCCCCCCGCCAAGCCTATTTTTAACAAGCTGGACACATCCACTGAGTTTGTCAAAATGTCGATTAATAGGGTCAGTCCTTTGACAAAGCAAAGTCTTAGATAATAATTAACAGAATAATAATCTAGCCCTAATTCCTGGAGCTCCTTCCTCTCCTTCAGTGTTTTCAAGGCGTTGTGTTAATTACCTAGACCTTTTTGTCCTACCATTCATCAAGGAAACTGAGGACAAGGACAGGTGAGTGACTCAGCCTCAAGCAAAGCCTGGGACTAAGAGGGTTTCATATTCAGACCCAAGGCTAAGTATCTCTGTTCTCACCAAACCAAAATTGTTGCCATCAAGTTGATTCCAACTCACAGTGACCCTATTGGACAGAGCAGAACTGCCTCATAGGGTTTCCAAGGAGTGGCTGGCAGATTTGAACTGCTGACCTTTGGTTAGCAGTTGAGCTGTTAACCACTGCTCCACCAGGGCTCCTATCTCTGTTCTAACATAGTGTTAATTAGCAAGGGTAAGAGCAGCTCACAGGACAACTCCAGAAGGGTTAAACTTACCTAGATCTTGAGGAGGCCTTAATTTGCATCTTAAGGCCCATGTTGTTGTTAGGTGCTATCTAGTCAGTCGATTTCAACTCATAGCGACCCCTGTGATAAAGCAGAACTGCCCTATAGGTTTTTCTAGGCTATAATCTTTACAGGAGCAGATCGCCAGGTCCTTTTCCTGTGTAGTTGCTGGGTGGGTTCAAACCGCCAACCTTTCTTTCAACAGCTTAGGGCTTAACTGTCGCTCCGCCAGGGCTCCTTCTTAAGGCCCATGTTGTTGTGTGCCTTTGAGTGGACTCTGACTTATAGAGACCCTATAGGACAAAGTAGAACTGCCCCACAGGGTTTCCAAGGCTATAAACCTTTACAGAAGCAGACTGCCACATCTTTCTCCCCTGGACCGGCTGGTGTGTTCGAATCGCTGACCTTTTGATTTGCAGTGAGTGCTTAACCACTGCAGCACCAGGGCTCCCTCTTAAGGCCCATATTAGGCCTTAAATCCTGATTCTGAGTCTTTGGTGAAAATTTGAGGAGAATGAAAGATGAGACTGAATGGGGAAGAAATTACCCTGGAGACTCAGAAAGGTTTTTAATGGTACCCCTGGTGGTGCAATGGTTAAGAGCAACAGCTGCTAACCAGGAGGTCAGCAGTTCAAATCCACCAGCCGCTCCTTGCAATCAATTCCACGGCCATGGGTTTTTTTTTGGTTTGTTTGTTTTTTATTGATGGGATTAGGGAGACATGGTGGTGGAGTGGTTAAGAGCTTGGCTGCTAACCAAAAGTTTGGCAGTTCAAATCCACCAGCTGCTCCTTGGAAACCCTATGGGTCACTATGGGTCGGAATCGATGGCAGTGGGTTTGGTTCTTTTGGTTTTGGTGGTGCAGTGGTTAAAGCACTCAGCTACTCACTGAAAGGTTGATGGTTCGAACCTACCAGCCACTCCTCAGGAGAAAGACGTGGCAGTCTGCTTCTGTAAAGAGTTACAGCCTTGGAAACCCTATAGGGCAGTTCTACTCTGTCCTGTAGGGCTGCTGTGAATCTGAATCAACTCATGGCAGTGGGTATTGATGGGATTATGCATATAAGGAATCTTGAATGGAACTCTCCTAGCCTTCTCTCCCATCTTCCCCACTTTCTTCCAGTGGGGCTTGGGAAAAAGTAGAGATACGTGCAGACGCAGCTGCCATTTCTACTCACTTTTCTTAGATTCATAGCCACTAGGGATTTTTCATGCAGTTAGTCAATAGGCATTTATAAGGTAGCAGCTGTTTCTTAGCATCGTACTATGCTAGTGCCTACAATTTATTCCTTGCCTAGGCATTGACTCAGGTAAAGGAAGTTGCATACTTCCTCCAAATGCAATACTTTATATTCTGTGCAATGATTTAGGCTGGTTTAATCCATTCTTGTATGCTTACTGCTGAAAGAAACCCTTGTTTTTGCTCTAAGGGACAGTTTGGTTCAAACCTCCTGATTTTCTTGGGGAAGGAGGGGGTACCTGGGTGGAGGGGTGGGGCATTAAAGAATGGCCACTGGGGTGATCAAGGGGCATTTGGATCTGATGGTATCTCCTCTCCCCTTTCCCCTTGCAGCATTCCTCCTCCTCCTCCTCCTCTTCCAGCAGTGACTCTGACTGAATACAGGCCCTGGACCCTTCCCTCAAGTCTCACCAGTTCTGCTCTCCCATCAAGCTTCAGATGCCATGTTGTACTGAGGGAAATTAACCCTTGTACCTCCCGCTTGAACCTCACCTGCCGCTCAGCCCTAACTGGCTAGGGAAAGTGGGAAAAGGATTGCCATGGGCTTGCAAAGATCTTCTTGCTTCCTGGATAGAATTTTTAGCTGATGAGTTTAGCAGGGGAGTTGTTTTTTGAAGATGATGAACTCTTTGAACTAAATGCTGAAGACAAGTTTAAGATTTGTAAAATGTGATTTTTTTAAAACTTTCTTTTGTAATAATGGTGGTCGAGGGTGTCTTGGAAATTTAATTATATAAAAAAAAACCCTGTACCTTTTTTGTAATGGGGGCATACTTCAGGGGTTCAGTGGCAGATACATTTCCCAGTAGGCCTTTTATTGTTTGCACTAACTGCAAGGCTGCTGGGGAGTGGAGTCCCTTTGGCTGGTGAGCTCTGACTGCCATTTGGGAACCTCATTTCTACTCTTTAGCTCAGTGTGATATTTCAGGTCCTGCTCTTATCCTCCAGCTCTTAGTCCAAATAAAGCGATTTCTCCTGGTCTCTGTTCACCTGTGCCATTACCTTGGCTGGGCATAGCACATTTAACTACTTTTGCTACCTTCCATAGACCTTTTAAAGTGTATCAGTTTTATAGTCAGGAACCAGAGCAACAGTGAGGTAGATAGTGTACTGTCCCTGTGTTTCTTAAGTGTGAGGAGCCTTCAGAATTGGTTCAGGCATAGTGGAACAGGCTTTGTGTCTTCCCTTTGATGAGTGGATATGGGCCTTCAGCATAAGTTTGTGTATCTGCTACTGTAGAGGTTCTCAACCCTGGCTGCCCACCAGCTATCAGAGAGAGTAATTTGGGGCTGAAGCCCAAATCTGTTGAATAAGACTCTTTCAGTATGGGGCCCTACAAATCAGTGTTTTTAAGAAACTGTGTGGATGAATTGATACATAGCTCGAATCAAGGGACACTGGTTTACTATGTGCCATGTTACACATTGGGTTCTCAAAGATATGTCTAGTGGAGGAAAACGACATCTAAAGGAACTAATTAGTAAAGATAAACCCCATTGCTGTTGAGTCAATTCCGACTCATAGTGACCCTATAGGACAGAGTAGAACTGCCCCATAGGGTTTCCAAGGAGTGGCTGGTAGACTGAAACTGCTGACCTTTTTGTTTAGAAGCCAAGCTCTTAATTGCTGCGCCACCAGGGCCCCTATTAGTAAAGACAGATGCTATAAAATGTCAGGAGGATACAGACATAGAAATAATTCTCGCTGGGAAGGGAGGAAGGAGTCAAAGATGACTTCTCAAAAGAAGTGACATTTGAACTAACTCCTAGGTCTTGAATGAGGAAGTATGAGTAGAAAAGATGGAACAATGGATTTACCAAGGGATGGCAGAGAGGAGCTGGGAAAGGCATATGCCTTGGCACAGAGTCATAAAGCAAACTAGCATGTCTGAGAATTACAGGTATCCCAGTGGGACTATATTGATTTTCTGGGAAATTGTTTATTGAGGAACTACAGTGTTCTGGATACTGAAGTTACAAAGATGAATAAGACAGTCCCTGCCCTTCATGAGCTGCAAGATCTATTGGAGCAGACAGACATGTAAATAGGTAACAATAATACAGTAAAAAGGACTATATTGGAGACCTGGATCAACAGTGGTGGAGCAGAGGAAACAGTGACAGTCTCAGTGGGAAAATGAGCCAGTTCTGGCCTGGGCCTCAGAACGAGCAGGCATTTCCCAGTTGGTAAATAATATCAGCTAACACGTACTGGGCATTTATTATGTGCCAGGCACTGACTGCTTTACATTTATAACTTGTGTAATCTGCATAGCAACTCTGAGGTAGATACTATTTCCATTTTGTAGATGAGGAAAACTGAAGTATCAAGAAGTTAAATTAACTCGCCTAGGGTCACATGGTAGTAAGTGGTTCCATCAGGATTTGAACTCAGGCTCTTGAGTCTGTAATTTTAACCTAATATATTCTAGGCAGAGAAAACACTTTTACAAAGGCATGGAGTTGTCCAACAGTAGATGAAAGTTCAGGAGCTCCTGAACCTCCTACATAGAGTTACTGTGTAAGAGTCTGAAAGTAGCAGGAAATGGAGCCGTAGGCTGGGGAGATAGGGTTAGAGGAAGGAGTGGACCTGAGAGATGTTTCTGAGGTGGAACCCACAGGGCTTGAGGGAGTATGTTTAGTTGGCTGTAATGCATCTGTGGCTTCTCCCTGGGGAGAATTATATGAAAAAAAAAATGCTTGAGGTCTTCCTATATTTTATAGCTAGTTTTCAATTTTATTAGAAAATCCAAGGCCAAGGCCTACTTTTCCAGTCTTGGATTTGGGGGCCATTCTAATTTTTCCCCCTAGTCACTTTGTTTTCATCAGCTCTCCTTTTCCTTTTTGAGGAGGAGAAGAGAGATGTGGGTGGGGGAGGGGGTGGGATGGGGGTAGGTGGATTGTGAGATGAAGAGAAATAAATGTTGACAAACAAACCAGAAGTAAGGAAGACTATGAGAAGGGGTGGAAAGGGGGGAAAAAAAAAAAAAAAAAAAAAAAAAAAAAAAAACAGAGAAAGAACTTAGAGAATTCACTGACTCCTTGCTCCCCACTCCTAACCATGGAGAACACAGTTCTCCCCTTTCTAGCATTTCTAAGCTATATGCAGAGCACCTTCTCTTTCTCGCTTTTTTTTTTTTTTTTGTTACTATTGTTTCTCAAAAGTTTATTAACTCTTTAAAAGTTAAAAATAATACATGTATTTGGGGGGAAAATTATGGCATTTTTAATAGGATATTCAGTGAAAAGTAAGGTTCTCTCTCCTGTCATCTCAGCTTTCCAGCTTCCTCTCCAAAGGCAACCACAACTGCCAGATTCTTCTTCTTGAAACTTCCAGAGCTATTCTGTGCACAGTCAAGTCCTGCCTTTTAATTTCTACCTCACATTGTTCTGTTCTATTGCTGCCTCCCACCCCCACCCCTTTATATCAAATGGGAGCATACCATAGCCCCCTTTTGGGCCCAACTTTTTCTCATTTAACCATCTATCTTGAAGTTGGTTCTCTGTCAGTGCATGTAGATAGCATTGTTTTAACAGCTTCAACTTACTCAACCAGTTTTTTTTACTGCAGTGAACTTCATATACATATGTTTCCCAGAGGTTGAAAAATGATGTGCCCATGGGCTATATCTGGCCCTGAGATATATTTTTGTCTTTTGGAGGGACCACTCACTGTGTTAAATATTATAAATTTTCACATAAAGTTTCAGATTTCAAGCTGGAAACTGGCAACAGTGGTCCCACATTCCTGAAGGTAGAAATTCTAGTCTCGAGTAGTGGTTATTTCTTAGATGGATCCTGTATTCTAGTCATCCCAGTCTTTTCAACTCCCTGTTGTCTTGCTATAGGGTTAGGGTTCACCCACTTACACTACTTGCCTGACTCCTGAGAGCATTGGGTTTGCATGCCCTGGTTTTATGCATCACTATAAGTTTCTCTAAAGATGGGGTTCTCCAATGTTTTTATCTTATACCTTCACCACCCTGTGTCCAAGAGAGTATCTGGGATTATGCCATTCTCTTCTTAACCAGAAACTAAGTAGAGCAAGATTTCCACACAATTTGAAAACCCATGAGACATAAAATACAAGTAGATATTTTAGCTTTGGGAACTGCAAATAAGGGGATGTGTTTTTATCTAGTTTAGTGCCTTTTGGGAATCATTTCCCTATATTAGATTACTCTATAGCCCTAGGCAAGTCACTTTCTTGGCTAGCTTATTTCTCCTGAGAAGTTACCAATTCATAAAATTATCAGGTACTGCTATTAGGTACATCCCATCTTTCTTTTTCAAAACTGGCTGCAATTGTTGCCTAGCCCCAAATAGAAACCACTTTAGTAGAGGATGCTGATACTTTATTAACTTTTTTTTCCATATTAAGGAGGAAAATATTCCTCTTTATTACAGAATGATGGAGGTTTTTTTTTTTTTTTGTCAACGAATGTAAGGCACTTAAAATAGTATACTAGATACAGTAGTACTTTATAAACTCATCTATCACAACAAAATGTTTGAGTGTGTTTTTATCAGGGAAATTTTTATTATTAAAGTTTCCTATCTTCCAAAGGTGTGAATGAGATAAACCAAACCTCTTCCTAGTGAAGGGGGGTGGGGTTAGGGGGTTGGGATCAGCTTTTATTGAGCTCTTACTGCTATTCCTTGTGCTCCGCAGGTATGTTATGTACATTAACCCAGTTAGTTCTCAATAAAACCTTGAAGGCAGAAAACAGGCTAAAACAGGCTGAATAAATTGCTTAGGAACACTCAACTGGCAAAGTCTAGATTTCACTCTAGAACTTCCTGACTCCAAAGTCATATTCTGTCCTCTGCACCCCATTTTCTCCTTTCTTTCTTCCAGATGAGTCCTTGCTTTGCCCTTCACAGTGCTTTCCTAGAACTCATTCATACCACTACTACAATGAACCATGGATTGGAGGATGTGGATGTTCTGCTGACATTGGAGTTCCTTGACGTATGGGACCTTGTATTTTATTAACTTTTAACTTGAACTCTGTTTTGCCCGTCACATAAGAAATGATTTCATGGCTAGCCACTCACCTTCACTCCAGCTCTCAGAGCCCTGGGGGTAAAAAATGACCCAGCTGCAAAATCTTGAGGGGAAACTGACCTTTAGCCCAGGCCTCATAGTAAGCTTGCTCCCTCGTTTGCCTTTTTCTGGGTATCCTAACATTTTTCTACTTTATTTCCTCTCTCAGTATTTGGACTGTCCCTCACCTTTACCAAATGACAGACTTCTTTTTATTTCTATCTTACATTGTTCCTACTGCCCACCCCTTCATTTGGGGGTGGGTGGAGAGGCATTGGGAGTTTCCAAGCCTTATTTTTCACTTCAGGAAGCTGTCCCCCTTCAGGTGACTCCACTGAATTGGAGCTGCCTAATAAAATTTAACTGATATTAAGGCCAGAATCGAGGACTTGAACAAGTTTCAATAATAACCCTGTATATTTGCTGTCTCTTTCAATTTCCTCATTTTGCTTTACTCTCTGCCAGAGCTCCTCTCTGGTTTTTAAAAAACTTTTTAATCTGGAAATTCAGATATAAGAAGGGTAGAGAAAGTAGTATTAAAAACTCCTATCTTTCCATCACCTAGCTCAGTAGTAATCAGCATTTTGCTGATTTTGTTCCATTCCACATATTTTCCCCAATTTTTATTATGAAAATTGTAAAAAAAAAAAAAAAGTTTAAAGAGAAGTACAGTGATGATCACCCATATACCAACGACCTAGATTTAATAATTGTTAACATTTTGCCATATCTGTTTTATCGATACACCTGTGCGAACCATTTGTAAGTGTTGTATACATCATGATTCTTCACCCTTAAATATTTCATCAAGTACTTCCTAAGAAGCATTTTACCTACATAAACACAATTTCATTATCAAGCTTAAGAAAATTAGATATAGTTTCTAATATAATCTAATACTCAGTTCATGTTTGAATTTCCTCAGTTATCCCAAAAATGTCTTATATAGCTTTTTTTTTCAAACCAGGATCCAAACAAAACCCACACATTACAACATTACATTTGGTTGGTCTGCTTTTTAAATTTCTCCTATCTACCTGATACCTTCTTGAAAAGACCAGACTAGTTGTCTTGTAGAATGTCCCACATTCTGGATTTGATTATTTTATTGTAGCCTGGTGGTGTTTAACTTGTTCCTTTATCTTCTATATTTCCCATAAATTGGAAATTAGGTCTAAAGGATTGATTAGATTAAGATTCTTTTGGCAAGAATACTTAATAGATGATGCTGTGTACTTATTGCATCTCATCGAGGACCATACAATATTGTGATGCAAAATCTGATCACTTGGTAAGGTGGTGACTCCATTGAAAAGTTACACTTTTTCACTGTGTGACTTGCAGATAATATTTGGGGTGATATTTGGCAGCATGATAACATCTTGTTCTCTAACAACCTTTCACTTAAAGTTTTGATGATCGATGATACTTGCCTGAATGAATTATTTCATTCTGGGTTGCAGAATGGTGATTTTCTCTTTCATTCCTTCTAGATTTATTACCTAGAATTCTTTAAAAAGGAGCTTTCTCTTAGCAACTGTGGACGAACTATAGTTTTTCCTAAAAAGGGAGGGTAAATGCTCAATTCTTTCCTTTTAACTACCAATTTTCAGACTAAAGAGTTGGTGTAATAGCCACCTCCAATGTGGGAAATTAGTTATTTTTTTTTTCTTTCTATTTTTGAGTATCACTATGGACTACTGGGTTTTCCGGTCTCTTAACATTTTCTCCCCACCCATACCTTTTTCTTTTCCCCTTCTTGATTCATCACGACTGCACCTCTCTCCGCACTTGCACCTGAGCTTTCCAACCAGTCCGCTAGGGGCCACTAGTTTCCTCCCCGCTCCCTCCCCCACGCGGTCGCTCTATCATACATCTCACCATCTGCTACCAGTCATCTCGGTAGTGTCAATGCTGTCCGCGGAGCCGCTCTAGGCTCTTGGGAGGCCGTCTGCATTGCGTGGGGAAGGTTTGGAGGACGCGGCCGCCTCGCCGGCCCCCGGGCAGTTAGCGCTTCCGGGGTCAGAGGGTGCGCGGGGTTGAAAGCGGGCCGCTCCGCCCCGTCTCCCTCCCAGACCAGCAGAGGCAGCAGCCGGAGCAGCCGCCGCCTGCGCCCTCTCCCGCCCGCCCGCCCTCCGCCGCCCTCCACCCGCCCCGGGGTCTCTTTCCCCCTTCCTTCTCCTCCTCCTCCACCCCCCCCTTCCTCCTCCGCCCGCCCGCGGGGCCCCCCTCGTCTTCCCGCCCGCCCCTATTGTTCCGCCCCCGGCCTCCCGCCCTTCCCCTTCCCGCCCGCTCCCCTTTTCCCCCTCAGTCGCCTCGCGCCTGCAGGTAAGCTTAAAAATTATCCCTCCGCGCCCAGCTATAACTCCTATTTCGTCTCTTGTTATCTTTCTTAGCGGGCTCCAGTCCTCGTCACGAGCCCCGGCCTCGCGTAGTCCCACGTAAGCGCCTAGCCCCTCATTGCCTGGTCGGCCATTCACGCGAGGCCCTGGCTCCAGCGCGGCCTAGTAGGCCTCGCGCAAGGCCTAATCCCCCCTCCCCCCGCCTTTTCCCGGTGGCGGCTGCGCAGGAGTCAAGGAGGGCGCGCGCGCGGTAGGGGGGGCGGCGGTGGATTTGTTGGTTGAGGGGGGTGGGGGAAGGCGATGGCCGGCTTGCTGGCCGGGCGGGTGAGCGCGGCTCCCCGCGGGGGTCAGGCGCTGGCGCAGCCACACGAGGAGGCGCTACAAGTCCGGCCCCTCCCCCTGGATCGCAGCGCCCCCCCCTGACCGAACCGTTTATTTTTTTCCCCCCCTCTTTTCTAGTCGGGGGAGGGGGGGCATTTTTTTTTTCCTTTTAAGTGGAAAATGCCTGGATGACCGAGGGGAGGGGGGCTGCCGAGCTAAAGAAGGGGTAGACGGGCCCCCAGGTATCGAGTTATTCAGGACGTTGTTTCGGGGTAACGAATTTTAAAATTACAAAATGCCTTGCCGATATAGACCCAGAGCGAGCTATTTATAGGAGAAGGGGTAATGGACTGCAGGATTAACAGCTGGATTGCTGAGATTGGGTACATTTGTGTTGACTTAGACAGGAGAAAAATATGACGAGGATTTCGTAGATTACTTGGATGATTTGGAGTTAGAAATGCAGCTTTGTGCCTTACCTCAAGAGATGGGTTCAAATAGGTTTTCAATTTTCTTTCTCTTTCGAAGTTGCATTTGTATAGTATTTGGAAAGTGCTTCCTGTTACATTTGAGTGGGGTTAAGGAATTAAACTGACAGGTTTTTACCATATCTCATTTAAAAAAGGATGATTCCTACAGACGTAGTGCTATCCCTTACCAAGCACTGTTGTTTTTCTGAGAGGGAAGTATTGAATTCTTGTATTTTGCCCACAATTATATTCTGAAAATGGGGAAATGAAGTGTTTTGGATGTGCAAGACCTCTTTTTATATTTACTTACTCTTGAGGTAGCCAGGGGGGCATTTTCCCATTATCAGAATGGTATGCACTTTTTTAATATTTAAGATACGAGCTTGGTATTAGAGCAAGGTTTAAAAGGTGGCTGGGTTTGTGAAGGGGGAGAACTAGCATCCAGGAGATGTTACTGACCTTGAGTTTTGAAAGGATGGATACTGAAAATGTCATTGGAGAAATTTAACAGAATTTAGGAGATCGTTTTGGTCCTGAGGAGGTATTGAAGGTAAACGTGTATCCAAAACCAAAATCTGTTTTTTACACATCGACTAACCAGTTGTTCCAAAGCAGAAACGTTAGGAATATTATTTTAGAGAGTAGATGGGGAAGGCAAGTTACTGTTATTATTTAAAACAATCAGAATAATTTTATTAATAGTTTTATTTTAATTGATTTTTTTTGGAAGGAAATTTTGCCAAATCTGAGTAACTGTCAAGTTGGGTTGGGAGAGGAGATAGGAAAAGGACTCAGCCTGTGCTTAATGTATTGTTTGAATCATTTTTCAAAGAGGAATGTGGAACCCCAGCCTGCATGGAAGGCATTCAAATCGTGTCTTTTTCAGCAGGGTTGTTGACTTAAATCTTTGTATGTCATTTGCTGTCTATCAGCATTGTGATATTTGTGATATTCATCTCAGTTTCTTTACGTAGAAATCGCTGCTACTAAGAACAGGGAAGCCAAAGGTCATTTGCCCTCACAGTATGTAGTTGCCTAGTTTGAGGATTGCCTGCATGATTTCCAGGTGTTCCTGTGTCCTGTTGAGGTTTTTTCTGTTGAAGGACAACTGGTGCACGTTCAGCAGTTCCCTTAGAACGGTTGCCAATTGAAGGAACCTTCCTCATCCTGAGAGTCAGTGAAACCCTACCTAACTAATGAGAGTAGATTGGAAAGTCGCCTTCCATGCCCTGTAATAGAACCTGAGCTGTAAATGTAGTTTGTCGTTATGCAGTTGTGCTAGGTGTATGCAAATCTGCTGTCTGTTAGGCTGTTAAGAAAAGAGTTAATTAGAAAACAATAATGGTGAAAATAACTTTGGGAAATATTTCCTTCTTTTTTTTAATCTTCTCATTTTGGTCATGTTTGCATTTCAGTTTTTGGCTTTCCCCCACCAGTGACCAAAGACTTGACCACTCAAAAGTCCATCTTCCCTGAACACTGCTCGACATGGACACCGGTGTGATTGAAGGTGGATTAAATGTCACTCTCACCATCCGGCTACTTATGCATGGAAAGGTATGCATCAGTTGCTTGGGAAATTGGGTCATAGTAACTGCTAGGGGAGGGGCCAGGAAGAGAAGGCATGAATCTTGGAGCTCATCAGATTAGCACTGTGGGATGTCTGGCTTTAGCAGTCTCCTCTGGCTGAGTAGATGAGAGTGTAGTGGGAAGACAGATAGACTTTACTAGGAAGCTTCACTGAGCAGGCAAAGTTTAACTAGAGGCTAGAGCCAAAGATATAATCTCTTACCTAGAGTTTTCTCTTGGAAGTTGCTATGTTTGTGATTAGTAGATTTCTCCTGCCCAAACAATTTTAGAAAACTTTATGGGAGGAAGATATATTTGGTATTTTTTTAAAATAATTTATGTTAAACACAATGATAGCATTTAATCACTCTTGCATCATTATTCCTTCAGAATTCTTTGATAGCTTCACTCTTTTAATTTTATTTTATTGTAGTTTTAAGTGAAAGTTTACGATTCAAGTTCGTCTCTCATACAAAAATTTATACATACATTATCACGTGACCCTAATTGCTCTCCCTATACTGTGACAGCACACTCCTCCTTTCCACCCCTGATTTCCCGTGTCCATTCAACCAGCAGATAGCTTCACTCGTAAGCTCTGAGCAAAGAAAAGAAATAAGTCTCTTCATCCTAAATTTTAAAATCTCTCCATTACTTTGTTTTGTCTTAGTAATTAGCATAGACAGCAGTTGATTAGGTGGACAGCTGAGATTTCCTTTTCATGATAATGAATCCTTTTCCAGTGTTTCCTCTTATTAACACTATTGACAGTAGTTTTCTCTATTGCAGGAAGTTGGCAGTATTATTGGAAAGGTAAGACAATTTCATTTCAGCTCTTGTTACTATTTAGTCTGTCTGGGTTGAAATAGCAGTTGGAACTCACACTTGCCTTTTCCTCTTACAGAAAGGAGAATCAGTTAAGAAGATGCGTGAAGAGGTGAGTTTTGAGGGCTTTGGGATTATTACCTTGGGAAGTTAAAAACCTTCAGGAAAAAAAAATCGTTTAATGAGAGATTAGAAGGGGGAATATCTCAATATAAGATGCAGGTATTTTTCTGGCTTATTCATTTGTAATGACAAATAGTACACTGTAAAATGTAGTTCTGGCAAGTTTCAGAATTCATTCAGGACTTACGGCAAGGTAGCTGCTGTAGGCTATGTTTCAAGACAAAGTGGTATTTGAAATAATTATGACTTTGCCTTGTAACAGGATTATGTATGTAGTCAACTCATTGCCCATTTTATTTAGGAAGGGCTGTATAGCTTACGTTGGGGTTTGGTGCAGTGGTTAAGAGCTTGGCTGCTAACCGAAAGGTCGGCAGTTCGAGTCCACCAGCCACTCTTTGGAAACCCTATGGGATGGTTCTACTGTGTCCTGTAGTAGGGTCGCTATGAGTTGGAATCAACTCGACGGCAACAGGTTTTTTTAAATAGCTTACATATGCACAGATCTTTCTGTCTGCTTAACTTCTTTTGCTTCTGTTTCTTATCCAGAGTGGTGCACGTATCAACATCTCAGAAGGGAATTGTCCTGAGAGAATTATTACTTTGGCTGGACCCACTAATGCCATCTTTAAAGCCTTCGCTATGATCATTGACAAACTGGAAGAGGTTTGTTGTTCTCTCTTCTCTATCCTACCCTTCTTCATTTTAAAGTGCTTCTGGATAGCTTTGTGCTTTTCTGAGGGTTTTCAAATTCAGGGACACTGAATCATAAAAATCTGTAAATGGGTCCTCTACTCCACCTGTTGAAGCCCTGGTGACACAGTGGTTGAGAATTAAGGCTGCCAACCAAAAGGTTAGCAGTTTGAATCCACCAGCCGCTCCTTGGAAACCCTATAGGGCAGTTCTGCTCTGTCCTGTAGGGTCACTATGAGTTGGAAATGACTTGATGGCAACAGTTTACCACCCCCCCCAGCATCTCTCAACGTTTACCCATTTGTAGTTAAATAAGTCACTTGAATCATTGAAACAAATAGATTGCTTGACTACTTCCAGGGAGTCATTGTAAAATATTTGAGTGATAAACAAACATTTTATTTTTATTTCTTGAGCAGTAATTTTTAAGGCATGTCACCCATGCTTTGGTCAACTTCAAAAAACAAAACAAAACCAAACCCATTGCTCTCAAGTCAACTTTATTGCCCTCTAGAGCACAAATGAGTGATAAGGGGCCGTAATGAACACCAGTATACTCTAAATGCAGCTAGATGCCAACCCTGGATGCAGTTATATTTGGGAGGAGAGTACATGTTTTCTGGATTATCAGAAGCAAAATGTTCATACCAGAGGGGTTTTTTTGGCAGAAGGAAGTTTTTTCCCACCAAACAACCTTCACAGGCTAAATAACCATTGTCCTGGGTCTTGTCTTCAGCCTCCTCCCCTTCCTGCAGTAATGCAGCTAATTGTGCAATTGACACCGAACACTGAGGAGAACTGCTTCTGGCTGCTGCTTGGTTGGTGGTTGGGTACTTAATGGTGCCTGAAATCTTATCCTTGCCAAGATCAGAAATGTTTTCTTTTGATTACCAGTACCCTGCTAGTCCAGAGCTGTGTCTTAAACATTTAGAAGGTCTGTTCTCTAACCGAATAAGAAACATATCCTTGAATTTGGGGGCTTATGCTTAAGCAGTTTCCAGGCCTAGCTACTACGTAGAGACGAGGCTGAGGTGTGATCTTGATCTTCGGAAGGCTACAATTAACTTGCTTTTTGGATGCAGCATATCGTAATAGCAAAGACTATGGTTGGGAGCCGGTGCAGTCTTTAATTTAAAATTTACCACTTTTTAGATGTAATTGGGGCAAGTACTTTCTAAGCCTCAATTTCGTTATCAGTACAGTGATAATATTACCAAAAAAATTAATTAAAGCAGTGATAAAGAATACTTAAGTCTTTTTAGTTTCTAACATTTTGCGCAGAGGACAGAAATTGGTGGCTTGAATGAAGTAATTGCATTGTTTTATCTTTCTCCTAATATTTAATTTCAACTTCAATATTGTTTTCCTTCGCCCAGTTAACTGTAATTTCCAAAACAAGTAATAATTTTTTTCCTACCAAGACACACAAAAAAATACTCCCTCTACAATTCTGAGGAATTTTTGTCTTCACAGCAGAAATGGTTTGGGAGGCTCTATTCACTTAATTCACATTTCAGTGGTGGATCATGACATCCCTTACAAGATCAAGGCCAAGTGGTTTCTTTCGTGGCAGTATGGGTTACCAGGGATCTGCATAATCATATATCCTTTTGGTCTAATTTTCTTGTGTAGGACATCAGCAGCTCTATGACCAATAGCACAGCTGCCAGTAGACCCCCAGTCACCCTGAGGCTGGTGGTCCCTGCTAGTCAGTGTGGCTCTCTCATTGGGAAAGGTGGTTGCAAGATCAAGGAAATACGAGAGGTTGGTAACTCTTGTGCTACTTTTAGAAATGTCAGCTATTTGCTTTAAGTGTGGCTTCCTTTGTTAGCTCTTAGAATAGCTACGATAAGTTTACATTTGATGAGGCAGAGATTTTTATTAAAATAGGAATCCTAGAGGGTTAGACTTTGATCATACTTAGGATAAAATTATGCAATTGGTAGTTACGTTTTGTAACAAATATATCTTAAAAATAATTTAGAATATGAAAAGCTAACGAGAATTTGTAACTATTACATGTGACCAGTTTTCATTTTTTTATAATTCTTTGGCAGCTTTTCCATAGGACTACGTAATTTTTATGCCTGAAGAGGTTACAGTTTGATATATAATAATAGCAATGCTTTTATTGGCCAGATTGCTAAACCACATAGGGAAAATGGGAAGACACATTGGGGTATAGTTGTAATTCTGTATCCTTTGAAATTGTTGACGTTACGTTGAATTATGGAAGCATTTAGTTGTATCTAGGGGTTATTGGATTGGGTATTGGTATGAAACTTGAACAGCTCCTAAAGGAAAACTAGTTTTGAGTTTTGGGAGCCTATTGTACGTGCCACGAGAGTAGGGATCTTAGTTTTGTTCATTGATTTTTTCCCAGCCTTGACGTAAAAATTTGTTCAATAAGGGAATGAAAGGTGGGTGATACATGTGGTGGTATTGTTTGACCCCTGAAGCTATTATTAGCTCAGAGGAAATTGTTTAGAAGGATCCTTTTCTTGAGATCAGGTTAAATTTAGGCTGCTATTCAAACTTAATTTTGGCTCTCAGAGGCTAACTTATTTTTAACTGATTAAACAGTCCTATCTGGAGTAGGGAATAATGGGAATGGAGGGTTGAAAAGGGGAGATAAGGGATGGGCTCAATGTCTACTGAACTTTAGGCAAAAATTGCCGCTGGGAGGGATTAGAAGAGCATGAGCTGGTTTTGTCTGATTTTGAATTTGTTTTTACCCCCCAAAGAGTACAGGGGCTCAGGTCCAGGTGGCAGGGGATATGCTCCCGAATTCAACTGAGCGGGCCATCACTATTGCTGGCATTCCGCAATCCATCATTGAGTGTGTCAAACAGATCTGCGTGGTCATGTTGGAGGTAAGCCCTCAGGCTCATGCTGATAATGAGGGGAGGGGAAATCTAGGGAGAAGGACTGATCTATATTTAGTAAGACTAGAATTAGGTGAAGCTGTTAGAAGCGTCCAGTAGTGGTGGGGAAGAGGTTCTCTGAGTTCGTATTTTCTTTTCCTCAGCTCTTGATTTTTTATATGTCTGTAATAAAAAATAGAAACTGCTGAGCAGCAGTGATCTTCTGCTTCACAGCAATTTTTACAGGATTGGTAGGGTAAGATGCACTTGTTGGACTGAATGGACAAAACCTGTATTTGGGTTCCTGAGAGCAAAATTAACTTGCCCTTTGGATTACAATCTTTTGGCTACATGGAACGTTGACACATTCTTTAGTTTCTGTGCTTTAAGGCAGGGTTATTTTCAAAACGGTAGTTACACATACTAGAGAAACACGCTTATGATAGTGTTTCTAAATGACTTGTGAGATCTTGATGATACGCCATTCTATTAAAAGAATAGCAAAATTAAGGGAAATTAAGCCGTTTTAGAGATGGTCCCATGTTGGTGAGAAGGGAAAGTAGAATTTCAAGTAAGGGTTAGAAAAACTTCAGGGATTTGAATCTATTTATGGATAGTGTCTATCATCCTAGACAGCTTTTGGGTCCTTTAGGCAGAAATGTGAGAATCTAAAAATTGCCAGTTAAAGTGTACGTGTGTATGTGTATAAGCTTTTAGATTCATTAGATTTATTTTGAAATAATGCGTAAACTTATTATGGGGGCATCTGCCTTGATAGGAATTAGTGTGAGCTGTGTAGTCCACAAGCCATCTTACTGCTTTAAAGGGAGATAAACTCTGAAGATGATTTTAGATCTAGCCAGAGACAACGTTGGTAGGTGAGGGGATGGAAATACAGTTTTTACTTTAACTGACCTGTGTGAGCTTAAGCCACACAGCTGAAGCAGCTTTGAAACCTTATCTCTTTTTGTTTTTTTCCCCTCTGACTCTCTCCCAGTCCCCCCCGAAGGGCGTGACCATCCCGTACCGGCCCAAGCCGTCCAGTTCTCCAGTCATCTTTGCAGGTGGTCAGGTAAGAAAATTCTCATTGGTGGCCTAGAATGATCAAGGATTATATATAAAATGTCAACTTTGCCAGCAGCATATCAGGCCACTCTGCATGCTTGCTGAAACCTGTACTTTGGCCATAGTTTGACCTGCTTGTAGTTTTTTTTGTGTTGGAGAAAGCTGTGAATGCCAAGCTGTTATTTAATTTCTAGCAGGCAATGGAAGTTTTGTAGGCACTCGGCAAAGGTCATTTATGTTTGATATTTAAGGTGGGTTGGGTTAGAAGAAAGTGTTAAATTACCTTGGTATCACTACTATTCTTCCTACCCCCACCCCACCCATGCTTTTATATGTGTGGGGTAATCTTTAGAGGTCTGAATAAAGGTAGCAAAGAGTTGGACCTCTGAAGGAGATTCTGGATGCTGGTCTCTCCAAGTTGGGGGTCCTGAACTTGAGTGTCCTACAAACTTCCCCTTCCCCTCACCTCACCTCCCCCTACTCCTTACCCCTTCACTCCCAAACTCCAGTGTGTTGTTTCCCAGGCTCTTAACTTCATAAACACTGGTTTGAACCCACATGGCATAACTGAAATCAGCTGGGGTAAGGGTTCAGTGTGCAAGAATAGAAGGGGGAAAGCATGTCGGGCTGTGGTGCTGTGACCTTTGGTGTTGCAGTAGGAGCACCAAAGCACTCCCTTGGCCTCTACTCCTCTTTCACCCACCTACGCTCTTGATCCTTGGCACGTGGTTTATTCCAAAGTCAGGTTGTTGTAACAAGAGCACCACTGTAGTTTTATGCTTTGTTGGATAGTGTTTGAGGAGTAGGTAGGTCAGTTTTTGAAATAGTGACCTTCAGTTTTTGGTAGCTTCCCAGGTGCAAATGCATTGTTCAGAATGCCATTTCCCATTTGGGACTGGCCTTTTACAAGCAACTAGTTCCATATTACTTGTGTTTGACCTGGGAGCCATTTATAGGGAAAGCATAAACTAAGTCTGTCTCATTCATGTTCTGTTGAGTTAGCATATAGTTGAGCAAGGTTTTGGGAACTTAATTTGTCATGTAATTCTGGGAGTTTTCATTAGAGGTTAACCGAGTCACAGTGTTGCCTTGAACAGGTAGTTGTAGTACCTTGCTTTCTGCGCTAACCATGTACACACTGGTTTGGTCAAAGGATTCTCAGTTGGTTTGGAAGGATAAGTAAAAGCTTAGAGTCAGTGTAGCAAGGAGGGTTAGCCTTAAGAGTTTTCCCTTCTCCCCAGGAACTCCAGATTCCTGCTCTTCGGTATTCTTCCACTCCCATTTGGGATTATAAAACGTCCCATGCTGTGTGGCAGCAGTCCTGTCTGTTTACAATTATTGGCTTCAATTCCCTTCCCTTTTTTCCCTTTTCTCTCCTTCCTACCTCTTTGCTTCCCTTACCTCCCTGCCTTCTATTCAGTTGACCACCCTCTAAAAGCTTGCAGCTTCTTCCATGAGTGGCCCTGCCATGGAACATTACCACGAGCCTTTTTAAATGGACCAGTTCATGCAGTGTCCACAGATGGACCTGTGTCTTTTGTTCCTTTGTGTCAAAGTGGGCTCTGTAGGGGTTCAACTTAATCCCACACTAGCCAGTAGCTGGCATCAGCTCTGTTGCCCACTCCTTCATTCTTACTGAAAATAACCCAAATGTGCAGTGTGAAAGCTGCCAGTAGGTAATTTTTTTTTTTTTTTTTTAAATTCACTGATTACAGCTCGTTTCAAATCGTATCGTGAGCTCCTTTTTAAAGGAAAAAGGAAAAAAATAAACAACTTTTTTTTGTGTGAATTTCATGCTGGTGACAAGGTGCCGGATTGACAGCCCTGGAGACTGAAATCCTCTATTTATCCACAGGACAGGTACAGCACAGGCAGCGACAGTGCGAGCTTTCCCCACACCACCCCGTCCATGTGCCTCAACCCTGACCTGGAGGGACCACCTCTAGAGGTGAGAGGGGATGTTCAGTCTCCAAGGCTCACTCAATCCTTCCGCCTCAGCCGAGACTGCCAACACGCGGGGGGCCAGTGGCGCTGGTGATTTTTGTGCTGTGGACACCACCTGTCCACGGGGACCTGGACTGACCCCCCCCCCCACCTCATTTCACACAGGCCGCGTAGCCCACCAGATGGTAACACCAACTCTTTTTTTTTTTTTTTTTTTTGGTTTTTGGTTTTTGGTTTTCTTTTTGGTTTTTGGTTCAACCCCTCTTCCCCTTTTCCCACTCCTACCACCCCATTTTCACCCTCCTCCCACCACCCTGGGTGCACTTTTGGGGTATTAACCACAGTGATGTGAGAAGCTTCACATCCTGAATAGCCACTCCTCCCCTTCCTATTCCGTTTTCCTTTCCTCCTTGACCCCCCACCCCATTGCCCTGAAGACCCAGCTCCCATTTTGGGAGGTTATCGTGTTGGGGGAGGAGGGCACAGTGGGAGCTGCAAGTGCCTTTTATAGAGGGAATGTGGGAGAAGGCAGGAATTGGAGCACAGGGATTTTTGTGTTCCTGTGGTCAGCTTCTTAGTGTTAGGGATCCAGCTAGCTTTCAGTGTATTCAAGTTCTTCAGGTAAATGTAGAGAAAAATATAAGATAGGGAAAAGGAAGTTTTTCAAAACATGCCATTGTAGGTTTGTGCAGATACAAATCATTCACGTTACCATGATTGGCAGGAGAAGGGGTGGGGTGGTGAGGGAAGAGACCACCTTCCTCTTAGGCTAACTTGTATACAAGGAGGAAGAGGGGGGGCTTGGGCAACCGAGGCATTGCTTAGTTCTACTTCTTACGTTTTTATTAAGAAACAGATATGTATGTTTTGCCTTTGATTGCAGGGAACTTGGCTCATTTTGTAGGCTCTCTGGAATAGTCATCTTACTTAGTGTTCAAAGAAGGCCAACGTCGGTCTAACTGTATTTGATACTGTCTACTGCCTCAATCCCTGGCCTCCCCATTCTCTAGTTCAACTCTGGCTTCCTGGCTAGTTGAAATCTGTCTTGTTTCCCCACTGGGTGGCTGTCCGTGATTGGTTTTTAATAGGAACTGTTTTCCTCCTTTTGTAGGCCTATACCATTCAAGGACAGTATGCCATTCCACAGCCAGATGTAAGTTTTGTTTTCACTTCTTGTTTCAGAAAGCTCCCTCTCCTATCCAAAATGGTCTCCTTTCTCCCAAGTAGCCAGAAGTGAGTTGGGTCTTAAACATTTGCAATATTACGTTATTTTCCTCACAAGGTGAGCCCCATATTTTCAGCCCTTAAATAATCTTTATTAGGGCATAGTAGCACCTTGTTTACTTTTTGGTGTTTAACCCCTGTAAATTACAACCCAGCAGATTATCAGTTTATGCTTTCCTCCATGTTCCAGATCACTGTTAAAAGTAAAATTTTCTGTGGTACACTGTCATTTGTTCTCTCAGTACAGTTTAAATTAACAGTGCACTGTGCTTCCCTGCATGGAGTTCTCCTTTCCTTGGGGGGTGTGGGAGGTTGGGTTGCCCTTGGCTCTTCATCACTCTGAGGTGATAATTTAAAAAGCATTTGGAGGGATGGGGAAGGGGCTTATATCCAAAGGGAGGGATAGGAAGTTGAGCACTTGGGAATTTGACTCAAAACCTTTCCTGCCACTGAAAACTCATTTAAATAAGTGCTCATATTCAGACTTCAGGACATTTCTTTCTGCACTTTTTCTTTATCCTTACTAACCCTTTCAAATGCTCTGAGTATCTAGACTTCGGAAGTTGAATTTGGCTTTTTGTTAGTGGTAGGCCCCAGGGCTGGGAAGTAGACCTGAAGAGGGTTTGTTTACAGGACAGTTTATGTAATGAAGAAAGACAGTTAGTCAGTAGTGGTTAGGTGACTGGTTGTTAAACCTAGTTTGGTTTTTTAATCTCTCTCCTTGCAGTCTCCCTGCTCCCTCATCTCCTTCCCTCATCCCAATACTGGTAGAACCCTGCATGGTGTGTTTTCCCTAGCACCACTACACAGTTTGTTTACCTAGCCTGTCTGTGCTTGTCCCCGGGGCAGCTGTTGCAATGGCTGCAGACACCTTTCATTAAGTAGCCCACAAGGGGATGGTTGTAGAGCGGGTGCTGCTGCTTTTCTTTTCACACACCCAAACTGCATCATTCTCTTGTACTGACACCCCTTCTATTTCTTAACCCTTAACCTTCATATTCTGCCCATCCTCAGGATTCTGATTTAAGCCCCATCTCTACCCTCCTCTACCCTCCACTGTAGTTTGAATAGTAGAGTCAACTTTGGGGATCAGGAGCTCTGCATTTTCAAATTTGAATGTGCTTGAGCCCTGGCTCTGTTACTCTCCTAATGTCAGCCTCTCCTGTTTCCTCTCTGCAGTTGACCAAGCTGCACCAGTTGGCAATGCAACAGTCTCATTTTCCTATGACGCATGGCAACACCGGATTCAGTGGTATGGATACCTCAGTGTGTGTTTCTGTAAGGTGTAGTGCAAGACAGAGGCCAGCCCCAAGGTCTCAGGTTGATTTCTGTTTAAAACAGACTTCATTACCCAGCATCTTGCTGGTTTAACCTTGCCTGTCTGCTATGGCTAAACCCAAGGAGGTAATGTGTTTGTTAACGTGTTTTCATTTGGGGTGAGTTACTCTTAAAAAAAAAGGCCCTGGAAGGTTTGGGGGTGAGGTTTGGGGATGCTTGTCAGGCAAAGGGTAGGCTGGTATTTCTTCTAACCCATCCTGACTGCTGCCCCCTTGATCTGATTGGCACCCCCTTTCTCTCCACCAGCTATTCATAGACCTGGGTAGAGACAATCCATTTGTGCCAAACTGTGTAGTGGTTTTTTTTTTTTGTTTGTTTTTGTTTTTTGTTTTGTTTGTTTTAATTTTTTTATTTTTAGGGTGTTTTTTTTTTGTATAAGGAATAACTTGTCCGATAGGGTTAGGATGAGACCACCAAACTCATTTTCACTTGTATCTTAACAGGCATTGAATCCAGCTCTCCAGAGGTGAAAGGCTATTGGGGTAATGATTAAAAAAAAAAATCTGTAGTATTCTACTGTTATATTAATAAACTGGTGGGAGTCTTGTTTCACTGCCCATGAACCATACCAGCCACATGCACATGGCAGAGAGAGAGGAGCTGAGAGAGCAAAGGGGTAGGCCTAGGGTCCCCAAGGGTCCCTTGATGGATCTGGCCAACCCCCTTCTAAAAATGTTGAGACCAGTAGCCGCAGCTGAGAGCAGGACTAGGCTTGAGGGTTAGCCAGCTGGCCTGGTCCAGTCCAGGTGTCAGAGATGGGTATGGGTGTTTGCTGATGGGTTTTTTTTTTCTTTTTCTTTGGAAAACAAAAATAATAACCAGAAGTAATTATTAAGCAAAAGACAGGGAATAAGTCTGGAGAAATGAACTTCCTTCACCTGACTGCCATTTATTCTATCTGACCTTGAAGTCTAGGTTAGAAGGATAGGGGTGGGGGTTGTAAATCTGATATAGGTATATTTAAAGCAACTCCAGATGTGTGCCAAAAGTCCATAGTACCCAGTAGCAGGCATGATATTGGCACTGGTGCTCATAAGCATCAGGTGAGAAAATTGGAACACAATAGCTGGAAATCCTAAGCAGAGAAGGGATAGAAGCACAGAAGGACTTGATGTTTAGATTTTGGTCCTCTTTGAGGATACCATAATCCCTTGCCCCTTGCTTCCACCCCTCCACCCCAATAGGCTGGGCTTTGCAGGAAATGGCATGAAATCAGCTCTTGGAGGGAGTGTGCAGAAGAACCTTTTCCAGCATTATTTCTACACCCCTTTCCCCCTCTTTCCTCCTTGGAGGCTTCCAAGTTAGTGATGAATCCCAACAGCCAGTGTTGGGTTTCCAGTTTGCTTCCTTCTGTTAGGTTAATGTGCAAATCAGTGGGGTTTTGTATGCTGTTCATTGAACTTTTCTTGTTCTCTTCTGTCTTTTAGCAGGTTTGGATGCATCTGCTCAGACTACTTCTCATGAACTCACCATTCCAAATGATGTAAGTGTCGCTGGGTTGTGTGGGATGAAAATAAGAAAATTGGTTTTAAAGAATAGAAATCCTTTCAGCAGTGTCTTGGTACTCTTGAGCCCTGGGGAAAGAAAATGGAAATTCTTAGACACGAAAATAAATTTCATTTTATAGCTGGATATATACGTTATATGTAGAATTCTGAAGTATAAATTGGTCGAGAAAGTTGATAAAACTATGTGAGGTATGATGAGGTAGAAAGAAGCTTGTCTCAAATGGAAATTCCCATTTGCCTTTTGAAAAACTTTATGCCAAACATGTCTTTCTATGTAGAATAAAAGCACTGTTCTTAAAGCCTTGGGAACAATGGTCCTTGAATGGTAGACCTGTCATGTCCCACATGGTATCCACTAGCCACATGTGGCTACTTAAATTCAAGTTTAAATTAAGAGTAATATTAAAATTTGTTCCTCATTCTCACAATCTACCTTTCAAGTGCTCAGTAGCCACATGTTGTCTGTGGTATTGACACCACAAATAAAGGCGTTTTTGTTTTTTTTTTAATCTGAAGGTGTAAGCTTTAGAAATTGATTAATCAGAATTCTGTCAGTATAGGAAGGTGGTAATTAATGGCAGAATGAGTTCAAGGATCTTGTTGTGGAAAACTGAAGAAACCTTTACCTTTCTATATTCTTAGGCATCTAATCAGGATTAGTGTCATTTTGGCTCCCTCATCAGAATTAGTGCTCTGAGAATGAGGGAGAGTCTTGTTTTCTGGAAATAATGAGGTGCTGATGCATGGACAAGAGTCCTATAAGTGGCGCAAGCTGTTAAGCACTTGTGCTTGACTGCTAGCTGAAAGATCGGCAGTTCGAACCTGCACTAGCGAGATAGGCCTGGCGATCTGCCTCTGAAAGGTTCCAAGCCTTAAAAATCCTGTGGAGCACAGTTCTACTCTGACACACATGGGGTCAACATGAGTTGGAATTAACTTGATTGGCAACTAACAACGCCAGCTCAGAATTGGCTCTGGCCTCTAGTGGTCAGACAGTAATAGAGCAGGAGTTATGAGACTGGATCTATAACTAACGCTTTCTGATCAGAAGGATATGGGTAGAGAAGTGTAGGATGTGGATAGTAGTTTCCGTTGTCTTGTTTTTTGGACCCAAGCTGTGGAATCTAGAGGAATGGGATGGAATTCTTGGGCCTAACCTTTCGTAATTTGGTGTGCTTTGTTGTTTTTCTTCCCGAAGTTGATTGGCTGCATAATCGGGCGTCAGGGCGCCAAAATCAATGAGATCCGTCAGATGTCTGGGGCGCAGATCAAAATTGCGAACCCAGTGGAAGGATCTACTGATAGGCAGGTTACCATCACTGGATCTGCTGCCAGCATTAGCCTGGCTCAGTATCTAATTAACGTCAGGTAAGTTTTCTCTACCTTATGTTTTATTGATGATAACATCATTTTGTATGTATGGGGGAAAGATACAGTGTATTGTTAAATGTAGGATTACTTGGGATTTGGGGATGTAGGCAGGTGAAGCTTGCAAAAAAAGTGCTGGGGTTTTTAAGTTTCTAGCCCTATTGGTCTAGTCCCACTTTCTTTCCTCCTTAGTGTAGCAGAAAGCAACTAGATTGCAGTAAGTTTACATGGGGGAAAATGTATTGTTTACGTTTGATCTTTGATGGTTTGGGGAGTGAAAAGGTTGAAGCGTGTCTTCACTAGTAAGACAGTGGCTAGAGCACCCATACTGAATTTTAGAACCAGCTATGGTCCAGTCTTACGGTACCTGTCACGTAGACCCAGTATTTCTTTCACTGGTTTGATCTTCGGTCCGAAGCACCTTTAGATAAAATAAGGATAATGAAGTAATGTGACAACAAGGCAGTTTCCTGGAAGTAGCCATTATTATTATCCTAAAAACACCGATTTTTCTCAAATTGCGAATATAATGCTCCATTGTTCAGGGTTTGGGGAAAAGGAGAGGCAGGGTATTGGAACGCTTCAGAAATGTCAGTGATGTTTTCACTATCTCATCCTTTAATGACTTTCTGGGGTTTTATTTTCCTTGTCCAAACTTAGCTAACATTACTGCACTTGAGGTTGTAGCAGGACTGATCACAGTCTAATGGACAAACTTACTCCCCAGTGGTGGTTCTGATTTTTGCTTGCCTTAAGTCTTTAACACCTTTGAGGTCCCAAAATCTACTTTCTTGTTTAGCTACCAGACACCTTAAGTCATTAATGTTCAGAGTGAAACGGTAGTAAGCTTTGCACAGATGGCTGTTCTCAAAGGTTTTTTTGTTTGTTTCTAATTGGGGTGTGGGGAGTGTTAAATGCCAAGAATCAAGTTCTTAGAAGCTGGAAATTGTTTTTCTTTGCTTGGGTAGGCTTGCTCTGAATATTGCCAGATAATGTTCAAATGTGGCCTACTTGCCTACTAGGTCAATGGCAACATTGTAAGGAAGCAGAACTCCCCATGCCAGTTTCCTGACCTAGAGTCACTCTTCAGGATCATCCTCTATGCCTGGCTATTCAGGATCATCCTATTATTGAAGCTATGGATTTGGGTCAAAATGTTTTAAAGCTTCATTTAACATGAAAACGACGACTGTGCACAAAGCTTAATTTAATTTCCTTGTCTCGGCCCAGTTTGATTGCAGACGTCAAACTGGTTTTATTAACACTAGGCAAGAAGAATTTTTCTACTTTTAGTAATGGATTCTGAGCATTTCTGCTGAGAATTTCTGATTTTTCATGGTAGCAATTTAGGTCCTTTGTGTAGTTGATTCCTGTGTCCCTTCTTTTATGGATTGCAGGTGTCCCTGGAACTTAAGGTAAACAAAATTGAGTCTCTGCCATTGTGCAGTAAATTGTCCAGACAGACTTGAACGAATATCTTCAGTCCTGACTTAGACATATGAAGACTTTTGGGAACTGCAGGACATAACTTATTTGGAGTTTATTTTAGGAGTAGAAGCAGCATTACTTTTGTCTTTTAAACATGAATTTTTTAGCGGTGTTTGAGTTCCTGTCTTCTAGTTCTGTAAGGTCCACATTAAAAGTATAGTCAGTCAAAAAATAAAGAGCCTTTTATTCCTATCACCACCCCACCAGAAACGAAGCTTCCCTGGTTCTTATCTGCATAGCTGTTCTCAGCATTTTTCTTTGAAAATGCTACATTCCTTTTAGTGATCTGCTTTGGACTTGCTTGCCCCTTTTCATCTTGTGGACATGGAAGCAAACTTTAATATTAACTAGAGAAAAACAAAATGTATGCTGATTAACATTCCACAAGTAATTGCTGGATAGTTGATTTTTCCATTAGAATGGGTAATTGACACTTGATTGATGGATGAAACATTTCTTCCCTTGTATTCAGATGAATACTCTTTTCATTTTCTACCTTCTGACTTTTGGGCTGGGTCAGTGTGTCAGATACGTGGAAATATGAGTTCTGTGATTTTCTTCCTTACTCTGTTAGTTTTTTCTTCACTGTAGCAGTTAATAAATAACATTCTGGAATGGAATATGATGTTTTAGAGGGTGGGGCACAGGCTAAGAAAGAGACTATTCACAAGTTGGTATTAGGTCTTCCTAGTTGGCAACCAGAGGCACTTAACTGATAACTGAAGCGGTTTTTGTCCTGTACTTTTTTTCCCTTTTGTGGTCTTCCCTTCCACCCACCCTTTTTTTTTTTGTTCCTTTTTTCCTCTGTTACAGTTTAGAAAACGCTAAACCCTCCTCCCAGGCAGCCTCCGTCACGATCCCTGACCACCTCAGCATCAACCTCTCTCAACCCTCCACCCCTTCTTCTTCTTCCTCCTCCACCACCACCCCCTCACTCGCCACAGCGGGGACCTCCGACGCACCCTCCAGCCTCCCCAACCCTCTTCCGACCGCCCCTTGTGTCTCCAGTCTTCTTGGCATGAAACCCATCCCTCTCCTGGCTCTAAATGTTGTGTCTGCTGCTAAGGGTACCGGGGCTTCAGCTACCACCACCACCACCTCTGCAGTGCCATGTGTAACTAACAAACTGAAAGGCGAGAAACAGAGATACTCCCCCTACTGATTGCATATCTTGAGACCTCCCCTCAAGTATTTCTTGGTTCATTTTGTTTTCCTGTATTAATATTGGTGAGAACCAAACAATTGTGAGCTTGTGACCATTTCCTTTTTACTACTTTGGTGGGATAAGAGGGGTGGGATAGGGTGGGAGCAGTGTGGTAACCCTTGTTTAGGTTTAGACCTTGAGCTGAGTGCCTGTTTCAGAGTCTGACTTGTTGAATTCTTTATCTAGAACCACAGTTCTTGCTCTTTCTTACTCTGTTACCTTTTTTTGTAGCTTTATTCTGCCTTGCAATATGACAATGTGTTAGGCTCTGTGTTAATGAATAAAAGCTTATCCGTTAATTCTTTTTTTTTTTTTTAAATTATTTAATGGTTAAGTTATCAGCAGGCCTTCTTGGCCAGATGGTGTTTCTAGCTGTAATAAAGTCGCCACCTAAGAACCTAGTTCACCGTGTACTGTGAAGGGTAAAGGGGTGGGAACGTGTGTGTGACCTTGGCTGCTCAACTAGGAAGCCTGTAAAACTGATTTGGGCCTTTTAATATCTCAGGTTAAATTTTATAGTCCTTTGTCATTATTTTACTCAAAGGGATATAGGCCTGTGACAGTTTAGATTGAGGGTCCTTCATAATTGACAAGCTTGTTCAGTGAAGAATGGTTTATATAATTTTTAGATCCCTTACCTTGCCGCCATCAGTAGATAATAAGGGTGTCCATGCTAGGCCTCTGTTTCCCCTAGTGAGTGGTTACTTTGAGAAACTTTTAGGACATACATAAAAAGAAGTTATCTCTTCACCCAGGGTCTTAGGGGGGTGGGCACATGGTGGGAAAAGCGACAGCTTCTGTTTGCATTTCTCCATATTACCATTACCCCTTTTCTGTGATAAATCTTGAACGATCAACCTATAGCGTCACCCAAGATGTGACTGCATTCTGTCCAGTCCTAAACCAATTCTGATTATTCACTGAAATTACTTTACCTTGCCTTCTGTTCCCTGACTACACTTTTCCCCTGGCTACACTTTCCCCCACCAACACTATCAGGAGTTGAGAATTATAGACTTAGATTTTGAAGGAACCTTAGGGATGAACTGATTCTGTAACTCATGGGTTCCTTCATTTTACAGATTAAAAAAAAGAGGCCTTAAAGAATTTAAATTCATAGATCACACAAGTAGTTAGCCAAGACTAGCAATGCGTACTCTACTTTTACTCAAGTGTGCATCTTTCCCTGAAGCTTTTTTTTTTTTTTATCCCAAGAATGGCACAGTTCTGTCTCCATAAAAAAGAGAAATGCCCTGGATGTAACGGTAGAAGGCCCTGATAATTAGTTCCTTCAACCAGAGTACATACTGCCAGGGTAATGAAAGTGTAATGCCCTTCCCAGGGCATTAGAGAACTTGATGGCAGAGATTTTTCCGTGATAACCTTTCCCACATCCTCTTTGGCTTACACTATCAAAAGACTTACTGCTCATAAGTATTCAATATATTATTCTATGATGTTATTGTGGCCCCTTAATCCCAGACTGGGCCTATGAATTAGTGTTACCAAGTCTGCATGAAGGATCGGAGAGGCATACTTCCATTTCATTGTCCAGGTAGGATTTTTCTTGTTTCTTTCTCCCTTACTGGGTGGTCTAGCTTTCCCTTGGTAAGGTCTCTCTCTAGTTAGGATTTAGTTATGCTGGTACAATCTCCCTCAGGGACTTGGTTTTTATTTTATCAAGTTCTTGATTGGAAGGTCTCTTTACCTAATCAGTATTCCCTAAGGAAGGATTGATGGCAAGGAATCCAGATATTTAAGGGGCAGACTCCCATCACCACCTCCAAAGGTATTTTGGTGTTAAATTTTTAAAAGCTTAGAGCTCCCCCATGTGGTCCTTCTATCCTAGAGTTCTGAACATATTTATAGTTTGGTTTTCTCTTCCCATTGCCTCTCGCACCCCATTCCCCCAAATCCCCGCTCAGGCTTTGCATAAATTCTAGACAGTTCTTTCTCAGCTCTTTAGGGTGTTTGGGGATAGAATGTCACCTTCTTACATGAGCTTAATTATTTTAGGTCCTAGATCTAAGCTGTATCCAGCAGGTCCTTTCTTGGACCTTTATGCTTAAAATTCCTTTTAGCAAATAGTTCCCACTGAACCCTTTTTTAATTTAGGGTCTATTTACCTTCCCCTTAGATCAGTCTCATTTTGAAGTTGTCAAGAATCTACCTCCATGAAGGACTAAATACTCCCCTTCATGCTGAGATAGAGAAACCATTTCTGGCTTAAAAGTAAATACGGTTTGTAATTGAAGGACCCTTCTATTCCCTGGTTCTTGGTTTTTCCCTCTTCTAGCCAGCTTTTGGCTTTGCGTTGTTGAAGGGTTACAGATGGGGAATAATGCAGCATTATGAAGTAAGTCTTAAACATTTAGTTGTATTAGAAATGGGAGCTAATATCATAAAGCATGTTGAACACCTAAATATTTTCCCCTCGAAGCCCTAAATTGGATTACAGGTTCTCAGATGACCTGTTTGAAACAGAATGGCATTATAGCCAGACATATTTAGATGGAGAATTTGGTTTACAAGAAGACCACAGATTTATGAGATTCCAGATTGAGCTAGGCAGATGTTGAAACTGAAATTATTTTGTCTGACACTATTAAATCCTGAAAACTAGCCCTAAAAACAGGTATTTTTATTGATCCAGAGTTATTGTACTTGCTGCTCCCTTTTTCACATCCCTTAGTGTTAGAAAGTGTATCATCTGTATGTAATAACCCATTGATAGAGAAACTCAGGGTTATTCTAGACTGAAGGTTTCTGTGAGCTGTCTCGGGATTAGCCTCAGTCAGGCCTTCAGATAAATGCTTCCTAAACTGCTGTTTTATCAGCAGTTTAGGACAGCTAAGATAAGCTCAGCAGTAAAGAAACAATGCTTTTGTGCATTGTGACCACCCTCTCAGGAGGGTGTTTCATATTTGGAACAAAGGTTCCAAAGGACATACTTTCAAGGGACACCAACAATTGGTAACCAAGGTGCTGTTTCCCTCAGTTCTGAGGTGATTTGCCTCAAGAAACTTGGATTGTAGGGGTTAAAGGATGGCGGTACTAATTAATTCAAGAGATCTTAAAATGCCTCCATTGGTACTGAAACACTGATCATCTATTCACTTCCTCACATTTCACAAACCAGGCTGAAAGTTTGGGAGGTAAGGTGCACCTGGCCACTGGAAAAACTAATTTTGAGTTCTTGTTTGTTTCTGTGTTACAGGCTTTCTTCGGAGACGGGTGGCATGGGGAGCAGCTAGAACAATGCAGATTCATCCATAATCCCTTTCTGCTGTTCACCACCACCCATGATCCATCTGTGTAGTTTCTGAACAGTCAGCGATTCCAGGTTTTAAATAGTTTGTAAATTTTCGGTTTCTACACTTTATCATCCACTCGTGATTTTTTAATTAAAGCGTTTTAATTCCTTTCTCTGTTCAGCTGTTAATGCTGAGATCCATATTTAGTTTTATAAGCTTCTCCCTGTTTTGTTTTTGTTTTTTGGCTCATGAATTTTTTTTTCTGTTTGTCATGGATATGTAAGAGTGGAATATTAATACATTTCAGTTTAGTTCTGTAATGTCAGGAATTTTTCAAAAAAATTAAAAGATGGACTGGAGCTTTTCCTTTGTGAATAGAAACTGGATGCCACAGTGATTTCATGTGGGTTTTATTCCTGTTGTCTTGCTGTTATTTTTGTACCTTTTATCTCTCAAAGGACAAGGACCCTGCTTGGGTTTTGAATAGAAGCCTTTATTCCAATTAAGATGTTTTCTTCTGTTTTACCACTCCATCTTTTTTTTGTGGCCCTTAGTCCTATCTGCCCTTGAACCCTGCATTGCAAGGTGATGTAATAATTATAGCAAGCTGGTTGTGCCTTGGTTGGTCCTTGTAAAAGTCGTGCCCCAAAGATTGGGGGTTAGTCTTTCCTAGGACTTGCCTCTGAGTAGTAGGCAAGCACTGATGCTCGCACTGGGCAGGGGTGGGGATAATACACATGCACGCACATGGCAGCCATAAAACATGGCTAGGATTCGTGTTGTCCAGGCCTGCAAATTTTAAACTAAAAACTTGTCTCTTCTCTGTGTTTTTAATATAACTATTCATTTGCAGTCCTCTCGATAAATTTGGAAGGTTGGAGCTTGAAGTGATGCTCATTTAGTGACAAAAGAGGCATAAAAGGGGAAGTGACTTGTCCAAAGTTCTCAGATAAAGTCAGGAGCCCAAGGCTCCTACTTACCATGTATGTTACCCCGTTCGTTGACCAAGAAAACCCTCAACAGCTGTGCCTGCATGGAGTGGTTATATTTCACGGTTTTTCACAGGGGTTACAATATGACAGTCCCCACCCAAATCAGGCACCAGGATAGAATCAGGGGCTTGAACAGTACCCCAGCCCTTCAGCTTGAACCATCACATGCTATCACAGTCTCCTAACCTCCCCCTGGGCCGTAAGCCAGGGTTTGAGCAGAGAAATGGAAGGACAAAAAAATGAGTTACGTGGCCACCTGAGAAACCTCAGAGGGGAGGACCCACCCTTAGCCTCCCTCCTCCCAAGTGCAAAATGTGTAAACAGAGTCAACGGAAAACAGAAAAAGTGCAGTCTAAGTGTTTCCCTCTCCTGCTTCCCAGAATGGTGAAGGATACAGGAGGAACATAGGAGACAAGCCTGGCTTTTCTATTGCCTAACCTCTTGCTGAACATAAGGATTGGGGTGGAGCAGGAAGGGGGCCAGCTTCCCCTTACCCACAGCTCTAGGGCAGTACTTGTCATTTCCACAGCTGCCAGCAACCCTAGAGTGTATCAGGTGAATTGGTTGGGGGTGGGGGGAGGTCAGTCTCCCTTGAGCTGACTTAAGGCTGGGATAGCCCCGTCTTGGTTGATTATGTGGCGCATATAATTTATATAAATATTTTTGTATGTACAGGGAATAATTGTGGCTTTCATGGAGGGAGAAATGCTGGAGGCCGCAAGGCATCGCCACTGTTAGAGTTGTCTAGTTCAGTGCTGTCACAGTCTGAATCCTCAGGATTGGGAGGGCCCTGTAAGGAATAGAGTAGAAAAGCAATGAGGTGTGGAACTCAGCATCTCTTGGCTTACAAATAGATTCCTTTAGGGTGTCTCTCGTTGGGATCTTAGTAGCCAGCAGCTTACTGACTATTGCTTCTGAATTTCAAAATTGCTCAGGCAATTTCCCAAGGCGTCAAACTCCTCTAGTTTCAGGATTTCTCCCTCGCTGTAATTACCACTTATTTTGAATGCAAGATACCATACTAGGTGCTCTATACTATAAGCAAGGAATCTTAAATTCCACCACGTGGGTATTGGCTCTTTTTGGCATGGGAGGAAACTGCTTCAGTACTGACTAACTTGCTTTGTGTTGACACTGGTATCTTTCTGGTCTCAAATTTTGTACTCTGCATCCCATTGCCCTTTCTTCCCAAAAGCTGTCAAATGACCAGCTCTCCCTGTTGAAAACCTGGTCACCTTTCAGCTGTGCTGTTACTCACCTGTTCCCCTCTGAGTAGGCCCTGCTGTGGGATGGGCAAAGAGCTAGGTTCAGGGCCAGGGACCGCCCCTGAAGCAGGTGGGTCCAGTGGGATTTCTGAGCCCTGGGAGCACATGTCATCAGACCGCTCATCTGGCCGCTCATCAGTGTTGGTACTGCCAACTTCAGGTGTGCCGCTGGGGGAAGGCTCACTAGCTGTGCCCTCTTCCCCATCTGATGGGTTCTCTGAGCTGAAGGTAGATAGTGACTGGCGCATGTTCAGGCCCTGAGGCCACCTGTGTTGGAAAGATAGGGGCTATGGCTAGACTCTGTCCCTTCCAGCGCAGAAAGCAAAAGAATGCCAGTACTTCTATCCACCATCTCTCACCTTTGGCTTGATGTCAGCTCTACTTCACTGTCCACCTCTCCTTCTTCTTCTTCTGATGAGATGCCTCGTTTCTGCAGGAAAGATGAGGGGACTGGTCAGAAGGGGAAAGAGAGTGTTAAGGACCCAGAAGGGAACATAGTTGTAAAGGATTAAGTAGGGAATGGCTTAAGATCACAGATTAATACGGGGTGGGGTGGGGTGAGCTGTGGACTTAGACCCTAGGGGATACAAGGAAGAAAGGAAAGCTCAGGAACTTTTCCATACTTTACCTGACTTCGGGTGACAGCAGCCCTGTACAGCAGTGCAGCCGGGGTCAAGTGCTGGGCACCAGCCCGACTTCCTCCCCGTCCCGCTGTCCCTTCCCTTCCAGTTCCCAGCAGCCCCACACCGTCACCAGGCCCTACTGGTGGAGGTGGCTCCCCTTTGGCTCCTCCAGGTGAATCCGGGCTGGTAGAGCCAGGGGCTGAGCCTTCACTTGGAGGGGTGTCACCCCGGGCTGGAGGGGGTGAGCCAGGATCCCTAGCTCCCCCAGTAGCACCCCGGCCCCGGGCCCCCAGTGCTGCTGACAGCAGATCAGGGGATGATGAAGACATCTTGCGTAGTAGAAGGTCATGATGGAGCCCACGGAGGGCAGGGGGGCAGGCCTCCCAGCCTGAAGGCCCCCCTCCCAGTCCTCCAGGGCTTCCTGGTCCAGGTTCAGGGGCTGGCACAGCTGCACGAAGCCCAGGCAGGTCCCCACAACTGCCCTTGGCGCCTGCCTTGCGGGGACGAGTCTTGCCACGCCGACTCCGTCCTGGTGAGGGGGGCCCTTTAGGATAGCCAGGAAGTCCCACCCCACTCAGGGCTGCGTCTAGTTTAGGTAGTAAAGACTCTGTCTTGAGGATATCTGGCCTGGTGGGGGAGGGAATGTACAAGGTTGAGATTAACAAATTTGTCCACTCAAAGCACCCCCTCACTTTGGATAGATCACTGCATATCTCTCCCTCTCCAAGTACCCTCAGCCTCCTTGGCCCCTACCCTGTTTTTGCAGCTTCCCCATCATAGTGGAAACCTCAGCACTTGTGAACTCAGGTCCCACCTTTTGCTGTGGGGTGACAGCTTCTGTGGCACATTCCTCTTCTTGATGAGCTTCTCCACTGTGTTCCCATGCAGGAGGCCCCGGGAAGGGTGTGACTTCAGCAGGCCTGGGCACCTCCGTTCTAAAGCTTGTTCCCGCCTAAAGAACCAGCCACCTTCTCAGCTGGGTATATGTCCAGGAAAGGGGATCTGGGCTTAGTTGGATCTCTGGAGTTAGGCATTATTCTGTGAAGCCTTTGGGGGATTAGGTGCACAAGGACAGGTAGTGTTACCTGAGCAGCTCACGTTCCTTGAGCTCCAGCTGCAACATCAGGGCATTAAGTTCCATGTACAGGTTGTTGGCCCTCTCCAGCTTCCGTTCGTAGTGCTCCCTGATATCCAAGGCATGTCTGTGAAGTAGATGCAGAAGAAGGACCACCCCCCCAAGGTGAGCTGGGTTCACGTGGTGCCATAATTATCCCAGTCTCTGTTAACTGGTGGTATACACATCCTTGCTGTCACTAAAATCACCTCCCCAAACACATACCTGAGCTCCTCCCTCCTCCGCATCACGAGCTCCTCTTCTAGGCGATGTAGACAGGTCCCTTCTGACTTAATCTTTTCAAAGTGCAGCTTTACCTCTTCCCGCCACTCTGCCTGGGAGTGGAGAGAGAATGAGGGGTGAAGGCCATTCCTCTGCTTCGGGCCTGCCCTGCTGCAGATTGGGGCACAGGATCAGAGGGTCTCAGCCTAACCTATTCCAGTCCAAATCAACCCTTCCTGCCTCCCCCTCAAAGGGCATCATCTCTGCAAAATTCATTTTCCTACCCACAGCACACCTGGGACTTAAAGTAAGTTTCCTGGGGTGTGGAGAGCACATCGGCTGAGGCGATGTCCAGATGCAGCAGGATCTGTCGGAATGATGGACGATTTCGGGGTTTGCTGTTCCTGAAGGGAACGGAGGGTTGGGGAAGAGAATGCCAGGAGTTTCAGGGAGGACTAGCTAGGAAACTAGAGCATCCTTTCCTAAAGTGTTCTGGAGAACCGAGTTCTAGGATATACTCTGAGATAAAAGAATTCCATGGTCAGCTCTACACAATGGTATATGTTATTCTCTAGAATATCAAAGTCCTATAGTAAACTCATTTAGTTCCATATTTCCCAACTTAGCTGCCAAAAAAAACCTTGTTCTGGGCAACTCCATTAAAAGAAACACACATTGGGAAAATGTTCAACCAAAGATTAGAAAAGCAATCTACATCCATCTCTCAGGGTCTGGGTTCCAAACAAGTTTTCAGGGCTCTCCCTCTGGAGTTCTTAGGTCATCTACTTGATGGCTCAACCGACGTGATCAGTGGCTGTGCTGGGGCCTTTCATCTTGTCTCACTGGCTGTTACTAGCAACCCTATATAGAAGATAATGCTATCCTTGTTTTACAGATACAGAAACAGTTTCAGAGGTGGTTCTAGACTGCAGTCTCCTTCACCCACATCTTGGATCCTGGGTTCTTAGTCACATCACGGTACTCTGACCCCCTTTCCCTGTTCATGATTCTGGGCCTGCATGCCTGGGTTCTAGGTGCTGGCCATCCCTCAGCAACACCCCCTCGCTTCCCAGCTTTGCCAGGCCCAGTCTCCCAGCCCAGGCCATCCTCACCAGCATTGGCGAAGGAGGATTTTGAAACCATCTGGGCAGCCAGAGGGCACGGGCAGATGGAGACTGTTGCTTCCCACGCCCCAGATGATGGCCGAGGAATCTACATCTTTGTAGGGGATCTCACCAGTTAGCAGTTCCCACAGCACAACACCAAATGACCTGGGGATAAGAACGGACACCGCTTGGGAGGGGCTCCCTCTAGAGGCCCTGGTTGCTTCAGACCCTGTGTGGTGGCTTGTCACCCCTCAATCCTCAGCCTGGTCCTTACCAGATATCGACCTTCTCAGACACAGGCTCATTGCGGATCACCTCAGGGGCCATCCATGCTACTGTCCCTGCAAAGGACATCTTGGTGCTCTTGTCACTCAGCTCCTTGGAAGTGCCAAAATCTGAGATCTTCACCACATCGTCGTACGTGATTAGCATGCTGGGGGAGAGTGTAGTCAGCTGGGGTCCAGGCCCCTCTTCATAACTCATCTTACTGCAGCAACTGTACCTTTCTGTTTTAAATTATTTGGGATACCCAGAGACAAGAGGCTCACCACAGCCCTCCCGAGATGGTCACTTTGGAAGGGATTCAGGATCTAGGGGATTATGAGATGGCCACGTGGACTTAGGGTCTGGAAGCAGGGAGATGGCCACACTGGCTTTGGTGGGGTCACCTGCAGGAGGCCATGCACATACGCTTCTCCCTGCTCACTTGCTTACTCACTTGGGGGACTTGAGGTCTCTGTGGATAATCTTGTGCAGGTGCAGGTAGTTCATGCCACCAGCAATGCCCATGGACCAGTCAACCAGCAAGGAGGGGGTGACAGGGCGGCCAGCCCGCAGTACCTCATACAGCTGGCCCTGGGCGCAGAACTCCATGAGGATGCAGTAGCAGGGAGCCTGGGTGCACACACCCCTGGGGGCCAAACAGTGGTATGAAGGCCTCAGCCAACTAAGCATTCACCTGGTTTGCACCTGGAACCTCCATTCCCACCCATACCATTTGGGCATCCATCTCTGGGAAGGTTGGGGAAAGTCCCCAGTCCCCAGGTGGGTCCCAGCCATCATAGTGTCCCCAGCCCCTGCCCTGGTCCTTACTTGAAGGTAATGATGTTGGGGTGCTTCAGCTTTCGGAGGTGCTTGATGTCGGTCTCCTTGAGGTCCCGCACCTTCTTCACAGCCACTTCTTCCCCGTGGAATCGCCCCAGGAAGACAGCACCCTGGGCCCCTGAGCCCACCCATTGCAGGTCCAGGATTTCCTCAAAGGGGACCTCCCAGAGGTCTGTGGGCAGATAGCACAGTGCCACAAATCTCAGAAAGAGCCACACACGGAGTTGTGATGGCCAGGGGCAGGGGAAAGAATTGGGTTGGCTGAAATGATCCAAGGAGAGTAAGGCAGAAAAATAGCCAGAACAGGCTGAGAAGACTAGGTTTGAGGGGACAGGGAAGGAAACAGGTGGACTGGGAAGAATCTGGGAAGGTCAGAGGCTGATGGATGGGTAAGGGACTAGGGTTGGACTCTGGAGACAGAAGGGGTCATTGGGTGATAAATGGGGCTGCCCAACAGATCTCGGGCTCAGGGACACAAAAAGGGGGCTCTTATGAGGACACTGCATACCTTCCTGCTGCTGTTTGTGCTCAGTGGAGTAGGCTTTGCCAATCATGGTCCAGACAGGGCGCAGGCAGCCAAAGAGGCCTTCAAGGAAGCCACTGCCGCTCTGACACTGCAGCCGCACTTCATCGGCTCGAACTCTGGACGCTCGACTCTCAGGGGACCCAGTGGCTCCCCCTGGGCCCCCTGCTTCCTGCTCATGTAGCTGCAGGACACTGTTGGCAAAAGGCTCAGGGGGCGGCTCTCCACCTGGTGAGGGGCTGGGCCCACCCCCACCCTGCCCACCAAGGGGCACTACATCTCGAAGTACACACTGGGTTGGCGTCAGGTCCTTCTCGGGGGTGCAGTCGGAAGTGTCTGGGTCAAGCTTGCGCATGGATGCCTCGCTGAGGGTTGACACAAAGCCCCCAAAGGAAGGGGAGGGGGTGCGGGTCTCATGGAGGCAGGCCATGGCCTGGTGTGGTGCTCAGCGGTGGGCCCTATGAGGATAAAGGAGGGAGGGGGCCGTCAGAGCCACAGGCTTACCAGCTAGGGATGCTAACCCCGGGAGGGAGCGGGGACAGGTTGGGGAGTTGCACCCACAACAGCCCTACTGGAAATAACACTTGAGCCTCAGCCTGAGGTACCCGTCTCCCTCCAAGTTTCACCTGTACCCATTTTAGGAAACCCTGATACACCTGGGCTTCCTTTCAGGCATCTATTAGTGACATAGGTCTTCCTTACTCAGGTATACAGGTAACATACCTGAGTATCATTCTCAGGTAGACACAGGTAACAGTCCCACTCAGTTACATACTGGTGAAATATGTCGCATCCTCAAGTACAGTGGTAGCAGATTAGTTCCCTTCTCCCTGTAAGATTGCTGTAATTCACCTCTGGAGCACATGTTTGTTTCTTTCACCTGAGGCTTACAGGCACATGTGCCATAAAAGTCTCAGACGTACACCTTTTACCTTGGGTCTCAACCTAAGGCACACATTGATAACATTTAGGCCACCTGCATATTTAAGCACACACAGGTGACACTGGCAGGTATCCCACTCAGGCACTCTCAAATGACATTTCTGGGCCTCCTGCATGCAGGTGATGCACCTGGGCCTCCCACTCAGATACTTACATATGATACAACTCAGGTGAAAGCCTTATCCTAAAGGTTCACATGTGGGCCCCACTCTCCAGTATAGGTACACACACACCTCGGCCTGTCCAAGGTAGGTGTAGGTTGTAACCACACAGCTTCACTACTCCTCCACCCCCAGCCCCCAGCCCAGTTGGAAAAGGCAGAACTGTCCAATGGGGATGAAGAAGCTATGTCAGGACAAGCGCTGCCGTCCAGTGCTTCATCCCCCTTAACCCTCCCACAAGACCATCTACCCCCAAGCCCAAGTTCAGTTAGAGAAGACCCCTGTCTCTTTCTCCTCTGCCCCACGCCCGGCTCCCCAAACTAAGCCCCTGCTTTCCAGACAATGGAGATTTGTCCCAATTGAGAGCTGGGTGTTACTTTAAAAGCAACCATTAAAAAAAAACCTCCTGATTCTGGGGACATCTAGATCAATTGGCATAACAAAGTTTATTAAGAAAATGTTCTGCATTCCACTTTGATGAGTGGCGTCTGGGGTCTTAAAAGCTAGCGAGTGGCCATCTAAGATGCATCAACTGGTTCCAGCCTACCTGGAGCAAAGGAGAATGAAGAACACCAAAGTCACAAGGAAATTATTAGCCCAAGAGACAGAAAGGGCCACATAAACAAGAGACTCCATCAGCCTGAGACCAGAAGAACTAGATGGTGCCCGGCTATCACCAGTGACCGCTCCGACAGGGAACACAACAGAGTCCCTGATGGAGCAGGAGAAAAGTGGGGTGCAGAACTCAAATTCTAGTAGAAAGACCAGACTTAATGGTTTGACTGAGACTGGAGGGACCCCAGAAGACATGGCCCCCAGACTCTCTGTTAGCCCAAAACTAAAACCATTCCCGAGGCCAACTCTTCAGACAAAGATTAGACTGGACTGTGGGACATAAAATGATGCTCGTGAGGAGTGTGCTTCTTAGCTCAAGTAGATACATGAGACTAAATGGGCAGCTCTTGTCCAGAGGCGAGATGAGAAGGCAGAGAGGGTCAGGAGCTGGTTGAATGGACATGGGGAATCAGGGGTGGAAAGGAGGAGTGTGCTGTCACAGAAGAGGGAGAGCAACGAGGGTCACAAAGCAATGTGTATAGATTTTTATATGAGAAACTGACTTGAATTCTAAACTTTCACTTAAAGCACAATTTAAACAAAACAAAACCTGGAATCCTAGCTTGCCACTACCACTTACTGGCAGTGTGACCTCAGGCAAGCTATATCTGAGCCTGGAAAACCTGACTATCAGGCAGTGAACTCTTCAACCTATACCAAACTTGTTCAAAACTTGCAGGAGTCAACCTGCTCTCCCATCTCCTTCCACATCCAGTCAGTGACTAAATCCCTCTAATTGTTCCTCATAGTAGGGTCGTTCCATAAGCCCCCTGCATGAGAGACTCCTGGGAATGCTTGTCACACATTCTGAATCACAGTGGGAGACAGGTGGCAGGAATTGCACACAAAAAGGGCTCCTACGATGATGCAGATATGCACGGAGGTTGGTCAGCTCTTTTAACACTAATTTCTAGGCCTCTCCCTTGAAAACCTTTTTAGTGGGTCTGGGATTTGTATATTTAACAAGCACCTTAGGTGATTTTTATTATGCCCGGCATGTTTGAAAGCCATCCTTTTCTCTTTTCTCTAGTCCTATGGTTACTGCCTTAGTTCAGACCTCATCAGCTGTCACCTGGCTCAGGACAACTGCCTCTTAAATGATCTCCAAGTTCTGCCTTTCCCCAACCCATTCTTCCTCCACCTAGCCATCAGAAGGATCTTTCTAAAACAAATTGACCAGCGTAGGCTACTGCTTCAAACTCTGGTAGCTCAGTGCTTTGGCCCCTCTGGCCTCCCCAGCCTCACCTCCCACTGCATTGGTGTCCAGGCCCCACAGAACTGGGCCTAACACCAAGCTACATCAGGTTTTGAGCCAGGGAACCTAATGATAATGCCTAACTCTTATGGAAGGCTTACTATGCATGTCAGCCTCTGTTATAAGCACATTAGCTCATTTACTCCTCAAAACTATAAGTTAAGCATTACTAGCCAATATTACAGACTGAGGCATACCCATTACCGCTGAGTTGCCCCGACTCATGATGACCCCATGTATTACAGAATAGAACTGCCCCATAGGGTTTTCTTGGCTGTAATATTTATGGATGGAGTCCCTGGGTGGTGCAAATGGTTAAGTGCTTGACTACTAGTCAAAAGGTGGACAGTTTGAATCCACTCAGAGGCCTGGCAACCTGCTTCTGAAAGGTCACAGCCTTGAAAACCCTATGGAGCAGTTCTACTCTGCACACATGGGGTCGCCATGAGTCTGAATCAACTTGAAGGCAACTAAACAATCTTTCCTGAAGCAGATGGCCAAGCCTTTCTTCTGTGGCGCCACTGGGTGCGTTCATACCACCAAGCTTTAGGTTAATGGTCCAGCAAAAACTGTGCTACCCAGGGACCTTGACTAAGGCATGTTGTTGTTAGGTGACACCTGGTGCCCTGGCTAATAGGCTCCCACCCAGGGGCAGATTATCCAATAGGCAAGGTAAGCATGCTTTACCTTGGTTACCAGATCATCTGTAGTGAACAGTTTCACATTTTTTCACACATCAAAGATTCTGCTTCTAGGTATAGCTGGCGTCTGTCTCTCCCAGCCTCACAACACCTTCCTACAGAATCAAAGCCTGTTTTCAAATTTGCAATCCTTGGCAGTAAGCAAGGTAAGCATGGGCTTACTTACTAATCTATAGTGAACAATTTCACATGGGTTTCACTACATCTTCAACCATGTAAAACTGCTCACTACAGACGATCTGGTAAGCAAAGTAAGCACCTTGCTTATCTTGCTTATTGGATACTTTGCCCCTGGCTCCATCCCTAGCACGCACTCTGCCTGGAAGGGGCTTCTCGTCGCCCATCTCTTGTCATCCAAGTCTCACTTTCTCCAGGAAGCCCCCCCGGGGGGGTGCAGATTAACCAGTAACCAAGGTACGCAGGGGCTTGATTGTGTTTACTTACAAATTAGTAACTACAAGTAAGCCCTCCCAACTGTCCCACCCCACTGTAGGTTAATGCCCCTCCTGGGCTGGCACAGCCCCCTGTCTTTGTCTGTGATCGCTTCCTAAACTGGCAGCACGGCAGGGTCCAGCGTAGGAGAGCCTGGACTCCTTGAACACGGAATCCCAGGGCCTCCAACAGCATCTGGTACGCCCGTGCTTGGTAAGGGTGCTGCTCTCTTTCTCCCGGAGGATAGTGTTAGGGACACACACTCACTATATATATGTTAGCTTCCTTAATCCTCACAACAACCCAGTGAAGGGGGGTGGTGTTATTGCTCCTATTATACTCTTGAACAAACTGAAGCTCAAAAGGCAGAAATCACAATCAGACCCAGACTCCGAATCCCCAACATATCCTAGGAGATCTCGGCGGCTTCAAGAGGTGAAGTGTAGATTGTTATGCAAATAACAGTCAAACACAGACCAGGCAACGTGCCCATACACCGGAGAATTTCCTCTGGAGGGCTGGAGGGCTTTCACCTACACCCCCCCAAACCGGGACTTTCCTTCTGAACGACCAAGAACGAAGACCAGGGGCTCTCGGACGTTCTCGCCTGGGCAAGACTGGGGTTCTCGGGGAGGGGTCAGGGACTGGACCACTAGGCCACCAGTGTTGGATCACCGAAGCCCAAGTAAGGGCCACTCGAAGCGGAGAGGAAGGGGTTATGGCCACAGCGCCCCCTCTCCCCTTCCGACCGTCCTCCCGGGCATCACGTGGCGCGTGGCTGGGAGTGGGGCGGGGGCTCGGGTGACGGGCGGAGGGGGTCCGGGTGTGGAATGGGGGCGTGGGGGAGGAACACAGCAGGTAGGGGAAGGCGCTGGGCGCTGCGGCGTAACCATGACGACTGGGCCCGAGGCGGCGCGTGAAGTCACCAGGACAAGATTAGCCCAAGGTCACGTGCGCAGCAACGGCGAGGGTGAGGCTGCGCCTGGGCCCCGCCCCTAACCCAGAGAGGCTCATGTGGCTGGCTTCTGGGATGAGTCCGGAATCGTAGATGTGAACCTCGACCCCAGCGGTCGGCCCCTTCTGTGCGCCCCCCAACCCCCTTATGCAGCCATATCTTCGGCTGGGGCGCCCAGGGCGAGTGATTGGTGTTGGAGGGAGGGGACCTGTGAGGGAGGCACTGGAGGTGTAATGCCACAGAGAAGGAAAGCAGGAAATGGAGAGATAGGGAGACAGGACCCAGAGGAGAGCAGCCAGCGAAAGGAGGGACTATCTGAGGGAGGTACAGAGTCTGAAGCAGTGAAACTCAGAGAAAGTCAAACCTAAGAGAGATGGATTGAACAACTGGTTTTTAAAAGCAGAGGACACAGAAGAGATGAAAGGGAACTTGAACACAGGCAAATCACTCCTTCCCTCCCAATTCGTTTTCTACGTAGAAGCCGAACTTTGAGTAAGC